TTTAAGAAAAAAAAAGGAAAAAAATCTTTATTGATTTTTTGTTTTTCTTCCCACCATTTGTCCCCTTTATGTTTTGTTTTCCCCACTGGCCTACTAGACAACAGTCTCCCTCAGATGTGACCCCCAATACAAACTGCATCTTATGTTCTGCTCTCTTCATCCTTTACACACTCTATAGTATTATATCATATCTTAAAATATTGTTCCCGGCCTTACTTTTCCATTCACACCACTTTACAAAGTATCCTTGCCCCACTAGATTTTTGCTTTATTTTTGTCACCATGCAAAAAACTTATCTCTCTACCAACGAGTCGGCTGAGCTGGCTTTCGAAAACGATCATCCACTAGTTCATCTCGTGGTCTTCAATGTTCGCTAACTAGTAGTACTTTTAGTTTTTAACCTGATCATGTCTCATTTTTTGTTCCTATTATAATTAGTAGTACGATATGTGTGTATGATATACTAATTATCATAGTATTATTATTATTATTATATGACAGTGTGTGATTGTCAGTTATTTTATGATTCTGTATTTAGGAGACATGGTATTGGTATAAAATTGGTGAGACGACTCGAAGAATGGTGCAAGGAAAATGGAGCGGAATATGTATATATGGCCACAGACTGCACCAATGAACCCTCCATCAATTTATTCACCAAAAAATGTGACTACAAAAAATTTCGCACCCCAACCATGTTGGTGCAGCCTGTTCACGCCCACTACAAGTCAATTAGCTCGAGCGTCGCCATTGTCAAAATCCCTCCCAAGCTAGCAGGGTCAATGTACCGCCGAGTCTTCACCAGTTCGGAGTTTTTCCCAAAGGACATAGACACCATCATGGCTAGCAAGCTCAATTTGGGCACTTTCATGGCCGTGCCCAAAAAATGCCTCCACAAATGGGATACAAGGGAAACAAATATTTTCCCCCAGAGTTTTGCTCTCCTAAGTGTGTGGAACACAAAAGAGGTGTTTAAGTTGCAATTCAAGGGCGTATCGCCGCTAACGTACGCATGCTGCGTAGGGAGTAGAGTGTTGGACACATGGATGCCATGGCTTAGATTGCCTTCAATCCCTGATGTCTTTAGGCAGTTCGGCATTTATTTCTTGTACGGACTACACGTGGAAGGGAAGCAAGGGTTGAGGCTCATGAAGTCTCTATGCACCTTCGCGTATAACATGGCTAGGGACGATGGCGGGTGTGGGGCCCTTGTGGCCGAGGTGGGCCAGAGGGACCCAGTTAGAGGCGCTATCCCGCACTGGAGGAGGTTCTCAGGTGACGACCTTTGGTGCATCAAGAGCCTTAAGGATGCGAAACAAGAAGGAGAATACGAAAAGGGATCTCAACCGTCCGATTGGATTAATTCCCGATCATCTTCATCAGTGATTTTTGTTGACCCACGTGACTTTTGAAGATGTAGCTACCAATATTGCTAATCTGATCTTCTCTTATTCTCACACCAAACTTATAAGGGCAAAAAATGAGAAAAAAAAAAAAAATGTTAGAAGAAACGTGTTAACAGTTTCTCTCTCATACATTCCTCCAAAATGCAAGTTGTGAGCTAATTTAGTTCCAAGCTCAATGAAATTCGCTTCTCCATCCATCGTTACTCTTTTTTTTTTTTTTTTTTTTTTTTTTTTTTTTTAAAACAATTGGAAACAACGGTATGTCAAAATTTCCAAGGATAGATTTCAGTTGTACTTGCTAACCAAGACGCTGCGGCTTAGAATCATGTTCAGTGAAATCTAACCTTCATTTTCATATATACCCCAATAATTTCGTCAAAATAATAAAAAAAAATCGGTTAATATATAATGTAATCTAATTTGCACACATTGATGAGATCATAAACTGTGAATTATTTAATCAAATTACTGATAACTTACCATCGAGTGACCTGGGTAGGTATTATATATATATATATATATATAATTAACGTAATTATATGTTGTTCCAATAAGTTGAATATGTATCACGTACGTGAGACATGATTATTTGAGAATGTCACTTTCTTTTTTACTATTAAAACAAAAAAGAATAACTCATTAGCGTATTATTGTTGTGCTTTATCCACGTAACGCTAAAATATGCTAGCCTATGGATATATGATAGCTAGCTCGACTAAAAATGGCTTGCAGACAAAAGGAAGAGAACAACATGCTGCCAACCAGTCCCTCATTATTTTTCTGTGCATGAGCTTGGTTGTTATATATATATATATACACACACACACATACATATATATATATATATATATTTGTGGGAGCACTTTTTTGGTGGATTATTGATCATAATTTTTAAAAATACAGCCGTACCTCTAAATTGGCTCCACCCAATTAAAGTAAAAGAATATAGACCATATTACCAATAATTAGAAACTTAGTTCATATTTTATTTCACATTCTTGATTGTCATTAACGTGTCACGATTAGAGTAAAACACTTCCTTAATATATGATCCCTCACTTAACTTAATAAATCACCGGCCGTACAAAGAGAAAAAGTCCTCAGCCCTTATCGTGAAGTACCAAATGAACCAATTGTGATAAAATAGAATCACAAAGCAGCAGCAAAGAAAGGAATCTAATTTAAGATCAAGCCCCGCATAACTGCATAATAGAATAAATATCGAAAAGAAAAGCCTTTTTACCAAAGAATCCAGCGACCTGTCAAACTTTTTTCAGGGTCTGCCTCACAAGTGTCAAGTCCCCTGGCTTTTGTTTCTCAAATTTAGTGAGACCACAACCGCAATAACATGGGTCGGAGTTTTTTTTTTTTTTTTTTTTGTTGTTGTTGAGATTTTTATGGTAGTATCTAAAAAATGAACTATCCTTAATTGTATGTTTTTTTAACCATGATAAGATAATTCGTAATTAAAAACAATCTGTGTCGTTTATTTTTCTTATTTTGATATGATTTTAACATATTTGTTGTTATTATTATTATTGTTGTTGTTGTTGTTGTATAACGCCTTCAAAGGTACTATGTTCTTTTTCTAGGCTTATCATTATGTACCATGCAAAACCATTATTGTTAGTTAATCGCACATGTTCAACGGAATAAACTATTGACCACTGCAATTTTAATATTGTTCGTTAATCAGCAGTGGGATTGATATGAAGTGTGTGGTCCATGAAAAGGTGATCAGTCGTCATCAAACACACTGTAGAACTCAAGTTGTGTACAACAGTGCCATTCACTGCAGCATGGTGATACAGCCTTTGAAAAACGTACTGAAGAACAGTTAAAAAGTTTCACTCCAAAACTTATGATGAGGCATTGATACGAACACCTAGCTGGAGCTTGTTTGATTGGATGGAAAAGTGAAATGGGTGATTAGAAGGATGAGGGGGAATAGTATTGCAAGGATTTCGGGATCTATGATTATTTGGTAGAAAAATGATATTTGTCTTGATAGGAGTAAAATCTCATACTCAGAAAATGGTGGATCCCGCCTGCTCATTTAGTGAGATTCAAGGGACGTTTGGTAAGAAGATTCGTACTCTGATTCGAATTATGCGAATCATGGTTCATGGTTCGTTACAGTGTTTTCTTTCACAAAAAATACACGTAAATTAAAAATAGTTCTAATCTATGAACCAAACGTCTTCTTATTTTATGTGAGCAGTGAAATTTTAATTTCATCAAGATAAGTAGGGATGTTCTATTTAGTAATAGAGAAAAGAGGAAAAGAATGTATTAGGTGAGAAATTTAAAATCACTTAAAATGCCTTACTTTTAGGTCCTATTTGGTTAGATGGATGAATAATAAAAAGGATGAGGAACGTTAAAGAGACGAGAAATACAAAGGATGAAAAAAATTAAAGTGATTCTTTATGTAGTAGAAAGGATAAGGTGATAGTTATAATTTGTCTAATTATTACATTGTTTTATTGCTAATACTTTTCTAAGGATAAAATAGTCATTTAAAACTTGAATGTGATGAAATCCATCGAATGTTAAGTAATTGAAGGATTCAATTTGATGGTCGTACTCTCTCCCTCCGTTTTTTCCTTCTCTCTAATCAATAATGAATTGGTCCTCTCTCTCCAACTAAACACCCTCTTCATATCTTTCAAGTTCCAACATACCAACATAGAGAAAAACGAGAAAGATTCTATATCAAACACAATTTAAAAAGAAAATCCTTTTTATCTCTTCATTTTCTTCACCCAAGTTATATACCTTTATTTTTCTTTCCATCATAGCAAACAAAGCCTAGCCTTAGCTTCCTGTTTAGTGTCAATTATTTGTCATGCACAACTTTATTGGTTGTTTCATTTCTTATGTCAAGACAGGCATATTTTTGCCGTGTTTAGAGTTGTTCTTGTTTTTATTTTTCATATTTTTTGAGAAAGAAAAAATAAAAATGATTTTAAAATGGCATTTGACACAATTAAAAACAAAAAACGAAAATGAAAACGATTTTTTAGTTTAGTGTAAAATGAGAGAGAAATGAAAAACAACCTAGTCGTTTTTCATTTTTTATTTTCATTTTCTCTTCTCTAAAGCAGAAAGAGACATTAATGAGTTTTTTTATACTGAAAACAATCTCTTGATAAAACTATCAAACACATTTTTAAAAATGATCTCTGTATGAGATTGAAAACGTTTTCATTTCCATTTTCATACAAAAAAACAGAATCATTTTGAAACGAGTTCCAAACGTACACTTTAGTTTGCTTTCTTTAATTAGTGAGATAGCTATCAATGAAATTACTTGTCTCATAATTTGGTGTATCTGACCAATTAGGTCCTTGCGCAGGTCATGATCAGTCAAAATGCTTTTACCAAAATGTACCTAATGATCGTCATTGCACCGCAGTCGTAGTGCTTATCCATAATCCTAGTATTCTCTTTCAAATCCAAGGTCCCAAATCTTCCCCCCAAAAAAAAAAAATCCCATTATAATATTGTAATGCAACATGCTTACCATCTTTGTGATCTCTGCAATTAATAATGTGATGTCTTTACCTAAGAATCTAGGACACGGACGCTCTAATGTTCCAGAATGTTGTCTATAAACTCTCTTTTGTTCTCTCAAGTTATTCTTAGAGTAACAAAAGTGACATCCTTTCAAGATTAAAATCGCCATATACACATATATTCTCTCATTCAAAAGCGAGTTTTTATTCCAAGAGACTTTCACATTCTACTGTAAAACGAATGCGTAATATATATTTTTTGTTCTTTCAAGGATACGGATTCCAAAGATGAGATTTTGTCGATGATGGGCATCGTCCTACTATAGCTACACAATATTTCTTAGTGGTTAAAATGCTCTAAGGGAATAATATTTGGCAGCTTTTTTTTTTTTTCTTACTAGCTACTTCATTCAACTATACATATAGGGTATATATATATATATATATATATATATATATATATAGCTCACTTTGTTCATCATTATCTCGTTATAAATTTACTGATGTTTCTTTCAAATCTGAAATGCCAAGTATATGCTTCTTTGAAAGCCTGGTGTCCTCTCCCCAACCAACGATTGTTGAAAAAAGACGATGAGCAACAACAGTGCAAAAGCAATTATAAAAAACGACAACGACAACGACAACAACAAGAAGAACAGTACAAAAACAGCATCCGCATAATTTGCACGTAGTTGATATACCACCAATTTATGTCTTTCAAACACTTATGCGCTTTACGTACGCATAACACAATTGCTTTTTTTTTTAAGATCCACCTGTCAGATCCGCAATTGGCTTGTCGGATATCACCAAAAGGAAAATATATATTGAAAAAAAAAAAAAAAATGGCCCTCGTACTACTAAGTCATGTCGAAAACAGTATTTGACATGATATCATGTTCAAAAGAATATTTAGCCAACATTGTTTGCAAAAAAATTAGTGACCGGGAAAGTTTTAATAGAACATATGTGTGTGTGTGTGTATAGAACATATTCGAGAAGACTCGAAACGTTTTTCTTGCGTCAACTAATGAGGCTGAGAAAGTAATGAAAAAGTTGGAATGCTTGGCACTCTACAGAAAACAACTGATTATTGTGGAAACAAATTCTGACATATGATTTACACTGGCACTTGGGTCAACTTGGAGACATGGAACGATTTCCACAGTTAAATGATAAACCCACTTGCACCAGTTATGAGTTTTCTCAGGCCACACAAAAGGAAAAGTTTTTTCTTTTTTTTTTCTTTTTTGAGTAAAAGACAAATAGCATTATGACTACTGGTTTGACAGTGACCTTAGGGAAAATTTTCCCTGTTACAGTGAATCATACACATTGTAAGCCATAAAATGGGAAAAAAGAAAGATAAATTTGCATGTAATCCGCCACTTTGTTTTTCCCGGGAAAGACAGCAAAAAACAAATTTAGCTACTTTCACTGGGATAACGTAATTCTACAACTAATTTGATTGAAATGGGAGTTATTAATTACACATACTTTTGGCCTGTCTTTAGCTTGACAAAGTAGGGTAAATTCATGATGATCATAATGCTAGTCATTTGTCATGTTCACAATAATGGCCTTAACCATGTTATGTGTCAGCATTTTTGGAAAACGACCTCCATTCAGAATTATGCACCAGTTACCGGGAAAAAAAAAGGATAGAACTGCATATTTTCTAGTGAAACCTGCGCGGCGTAAGAAGTCAGCGAACGTGTAGTGAAGCGATAGTTGTTGTGATCTGATCACATGGTAGAAGCCTTAGCAAAACTTGAAAATACGGAGCAATCATTTTGTAAGAGAGCCTGTGGATTTCCTTGCTCAACCTGTACCAGATCAGAGACCAAAAAGAAGAATTTGAAAGTAATCCCATTAACAAAACCAAGCCTCCATAGCCAAAGAGATCAATTTTTCCCAGTGCGGTAGATAAATTTCTACTAGTATTATCAGATATGTAATAAACTGACATACCAAAGTACCACGATCAAGGACCATTATGTTGTCCATATTCAACACTGTCGAAATGCGGTGAGCAATTGTGATCACTGTTGTGCCTCTACATTCAGTAGATATGGTGTCTTGTAATATTGATGCAGTTTGTGTGTCAACATTGGCCGTACATTCATCCAAACACAAAACCTGGAATTACAATCATGTCAGTATTTCCGCATTGTGGTATAACAAATACCCCCTCACTCCCTCCCAATAAGCAAACATGTTTAGTTCAGCTAATATAAACATAAGCCAGAAGTTTCCAAAACTTATTACGCTTTTACTCAAGTACACGCTATAATCATCTGAAAACGTAGGTGAAGCCCAATTTTCAAACTACACTCCATCTTCCCAAAACATAATTGTCCTTTTTGTCCGAAGTACATGGCACTGTCTCCTAATTAGGAAAAAAAAGATTAGGCTCTCACCTTTGAAGACTTGAGAAGTGCACGTGCAAGGCAAAGAAGCTGTCGTTGCCCGACAGAAAATGACATTCCAGACTCCTTAACGTGGATATCTAGCCCTCCAATTGCTTCCACTTCTTCTTTCACATGGCATCTCTCTAGGGCCTTCCAAATCTTTGAGTCATCATTCACGTGAAATGGATCCAGATTCTCCCTACATTTGCAAAGAAAGGGACGAAAAAAAGTGATAATACATCACGTCATTGATTAACTTTGTACCTGATAGAATACAGAACACCTACAAATTCACTGTAGGTACCTTAATGATCCTTCAAAGAGAAACGGACTCTGAGGAACAACAGCAAAATGAGCACGAAGATCCCTAGCAGGAACGTCACCTATGTTTATTCCGTCCACAATAATACGTCCTGTACATATCGGGGTGAGGCGGAAAATTGCATTCAAAATGCTAGACTTTCCAGCACCTGTTCTTCCAATGATTCCAACCTGATTAACAGTCAACAGGATACAGTTGTAAACCATCTAACTAAATAGGGTTAGACCTTAAATTTTAAACATACAGTCATTACAGAAAATTTTGCACTGAAATGGTTATAGAACCAACCTGCATCCCACCCTTGATGCTAAAAGTAATATCACGAAGCGCAGGTGGTAAAGATGGCATATATCTCAAGGTAACATTACGAAATTCAATCTGTCCTTTATATGGCCAGTTAGGACTCAAGGATTGGTGTCCATGTAGTTGCTCTTCTTCAGGGATGTTCATATACTGTTATGAGTATGCACAACATATCAGTAATCCATTGGGAACTTATATTGTGGAAGAAGGTGTGCCTTTATACCTCGAGAGCTCTTTCAACAGAAACCATTTCCTTCTCCGTTTCAGTGAAACTTGTCAAGAAGCTGCTCAGCAAAGACACAACTGGCGCCGCATAAGAGAGAGCAAGCCCCACCTATAAAAGAATTACGTAATGAATAAGAATATGGTTGGTAGAGGTTGAAGATAAATGACCATTTGGAGGTACGACAACAACCAGCCCTGGTGTGCCAAAACTGATTGGTAAATTTCCATTAGATCCAACAACAGCCATGACGGCAACAAATGAGATGATAAATGCTGCCAACAGCTGCAAAAAGGATCACAGCTGGTTAGAATATCTACAACACCTTCTAACTGTCATCCAAAACCATCAATTCTACATGGTCTTTATGTGCGCATACACACATAAGTTTGAACAATTATGTTTTGTCCATTTTATCTGTATGGCTTCTCCTAGTTACTTGCATCACGTTTGTCTAGAAAAAAATTGGCCAATTACTATTACATTGAATTGTTTCAAGCAGGTTAATCTCTAAGCCAAAATGGGAGCTTAAAATGGTTATTGGTCGAAAGACAAAACCTGAGTGCACAAAAGGATATTAGTTGAATGTTAGCCAACTACAGTTTGTGGTCAATAAAATTCCGAGACATACCTGAAGCCTCAAAGAAAGCCACAAACTTGCTGTCAACTCTGAGTATGAAGTTTTCTGATACAGAGTCACGTGTTTCATAAATCTCTCCAAGAAGTAATCCTATCCACAAGCATTTGAGCATTAATTAAGACTAATTTTCTTCCAGCAAAAGTTATTCATCATAAGAAATTTAAAAAGAAACTAAAAACAGGCCTCTTTCCACCAAACAAGAAGGAAAATAGTCCATATACTCTTTAACATCGTCAACTAAGCAGTAGATTATTTAAACCTTGAAATACTGATAAAACTATCCACCTTGGAGTTGAATGCCCTTATGGTTGATGATCCATCAAGTGTCTCTGTGAAGGATGCATAGATGGGAGATCGCGAGACACTATCCAGCCTTCGTAGTTCCCTGGATGTTGACCTGTAGAAGAACTGTAGAACTCTCAATCAGTTATCTTTTAACTTTTATCCTTTTATCTGCAACCTAGATGGTATAACAACTTCAGAAAAATCTATTTGTGACATAATTTTTCTTTTCACTCTGGCACTTCCTTTTGGATATACATGAAAAACTCTCTCAAACCTGGACATATGTACTACAGTTTCTTGAAGGATTGACATTCAGGATAAAATATACATACACATATATATATACCTGAAGTTTGCTGTAGATGTACCAAAATGGCAGTAACAAAAGAAGGAACAAAATCTAGAGATATAAAAAAACAGTTAGAATATTCAAATAAGAAGGAAATTTAGGTTGGAATTACAGAATGCTGGCCAATAAGTGATTTTCTCAGCTGGGTACCTGGACGAATGACAAAACCACTGCAATTCCTAGCAGGCCAACAAAATTGGCTAGGAGAATGTTGAGAATGAATGGAAGAGAATCGTCGATTGTATAAAGATCTGAAGACAACCTACCCAGGCAAGAAAATATGCAAATTATAGAAAGTGTAGTAAAAATCTAGAAACATTCTGAATGCTTTAAAATATAACCTGTTCAATATTCTTCCACTTGGCGTCTGATCAAAGAACTGAACAGGTGCATTTATAAGCTTGTTGAGCAGTGTATTGTGCACCTTAACTGCAGCTCTTAAGCCACCAAATGCAAATGAGAATGCCCTCGCCAATGTAAGAGCAGAATTTACGACACAAAAGATGCATAGTATAACCTGCATTGTAAGAGAAAAATTCTCCAGTTTTCTAAAGTCACCTATAAAGTTATTCTAATAACTGTTTTGCCGAAAAAGTTAGTAATGTTTTCATTGCAGATTAAAGGATAGTGAAAACATAAGACATTGCATAATCAAGTTACACGGATCCCTGGGAAAGCTGATTACCAGATAAAAAGATGTAGAATATTCTTTCTGATGCTTTCCAGTAGTTGTGTCAACCCAGTAAGATAGCCATAAATCATTTCCATTTCGTGAAGCTTGCATCAGGATTGCTGACACGCATATTACAATTGTTACGAACCAACCCAAGAAAGCAGCATAATTCCTGCAAGAGAAACCAGAAAGCGTGGAAAAAAAGTTTCTTGTCAGAACAGATAATCCGAATCTCCGCATTCATATAGTATATACCACACTGTACCAAAATACTTCTTACTCACTTGTACACTATCAGTTCAACTCTGCCGTCTTTCCGCACCTCATCTTCAATTATCTTTTTTGCTCCCTCAGATGCACACACAATGCTTTTCTCTAGGATGGCCTCAGATTTGTCTTCACTATACGTTCCTACGCCGCTTTCTTGTCCTTGAACATGTATACTCATATCAAGTTCATTCAGTGGAGAGAATCCTGAATATGAAGACACAGGCAAATCAGTTGAACTTCCCATCCACTTCACACGTCCTTTATCCATAACAATAATCCTATCAGCAGAAGATATTGCCTGAAAAGTGGAGAAACATGGATTTAAAGACCATCACTGAAATAACACAGGTGGATGGCGTGAGAAATCAAGCACCAACCAATTCAATTAAAAATAGAGGTTTACCGATTCTCCCAAAAGCTTAAGCTATGAGGAGGTAGGCAAACAATAGTTCTTTATTCGAACACCATCCTTTCATCATATCTAATGCTATTTTTTGAGTTAGAGATGACCCTTTAATTCAGTTGCAGTTTTTCCTTACAATATTACTGAAAATATTGGACATATGAGGATGTTTTACTTTTCCGTTCCTACTAAAACAAAATTTCTGTTGCCATTGTAAGAAACTTGGAAGTCTCAGGGAATAAAGAATTAGAGACTGACCTGAACATTATGAGTACAGAGCACACGAGTATGTTGTTTCATGAGAGGACCTAGAATAGCATTGAATAAAATCCACCGAGCAACTTGTGCATCAACCGCACTCAGGACGTCATCAAGCATAATAATATCTGAGCCATGATAGATAGCCCTGTATTGAAAAAATTGATAGATTTTCTTTTTAATAACATTAAAGAAAAGAAAAAAAATTAAAGCCAATTGGAACATAGCAGCATTGGCGTCACAGAAAGATATTGTACCTTGCCAAAGCAAGCCGAGCTCGCTGTCCACCTGACAGATTGATTCCTTTTTCTCCAATATAAGCCATGTCACCTCCGTCCATCAATGAGATATCAACATCTAGCGCGCAAGCCCATAAAGTGTCCGAGTATCTGCTTAAAAAAGGGAAGAGAACCCACAATTGGAAAAATGAGAAATCTTTATCCTACACTTTGAAAGACAAACTACATAGGTTTGAATAAGAACTGGACGATTGAATTATTAGAAATTTAACAGAATTGCTATTATTTATCAAAAAGAAAGCTATCCATCATTGACATAGTACCTTCTTGGATCATAATTCTTCCCGAACAATATGTTATCACGTATTGTTCCAGATAGAATCCAAGGGACCTATAATTTAAGTGGCAAACATTAGCTAACAAAAAGAGCTTTAATACCTTTCTAAAGAGTGCAAATATAAGGCAAGTCATCCATGGTTTAAGACATTTTATGGACCTGTGGTACATATGCTATAGATCCACTCGACTGTATTGAACCGTGGACAAGTCTCATTTCTCCCAAAATTGAATTTAAGAAGGATGATTTACCTGAACCAACCTGATCACATGTACGCAAGTTAGAATATAAAATCATTAGACATAAAAGAAAGGAGACAAACAATCTGTTGTTAGGATCCTGGTTGAGTCCCGCATTGCTAAAGTATGGGCTTAACATGCGGGTTTATAACCACTTTGGCACCCTCTCCCTACAAGCTAACTTTTGGGGATGAGTTCTACCCAAGGGTTGTAACATCTGTCAAGACCCATTTGCTGTGTAGATATTGCCGCTTTGCCCTACTGGCCTCACAGTTTCCAAACACATCACACATTGAGGAGAATCCTTGTGCTTAGGAACCATTGCTTAATATTTTCCCCAAGCCATGAGGGATTCGGTAGCTCACCCTACCTTGGCCTAAGCCTCAAGGGATTATGAGATGCCCCAATTGAAATGTGTAAGGAAAAGTTCTAACCTCTCCAATAACTGCGGTGAAAGAACCCTTTGGAACACCTAGAGTCCCATTATTTAGTATGAAATTTCTTTCTTCATTGTCACCGATTGACCAAGCACAACATGCATTGTGGAAAACCACAGCCATTTCTTCAGAGCAAAATTCAGATTGGGCGTTCACTAGTAACTTTGATGAAGCATCATCCATCTCTTCCAGTTTTGACTTCCAGTCACACGAAGACAGAAACCGGCTCAATCGTCTGGTAGATATAAAGACCTGAGAAAACGTAAAGATAACATGTTGCATTTTAACCAAATTGCTGGAAAATGGAAAAAATGAAAGAAAATTTAACTTGTACTCGTATGGAACAAGGAAAACTCACATCAATCAATCCATTAATAACCCATGGGAACGAGTTTAGTGGAGAAATCAAAGTATTGAACAGAGCAAGACAAGTGAAGACCTGCATTAAAGTTAATCACAGAGTTAACTTGCTTGACAGTCTACAATATTCCCTATTAAACATGAACCATAAAATAAAAATTGATATAATGGGATCAAATGAATTAAAAGACCAGAAATATGTTGAAGTATTACACTTGTTTGAGGAAAAGTTGAATACCATTGCAGCATCAAGTTGATTTCCCATCAGCGTGAAGAGTCCGAATGTGAAAAGAGAGAAAAGGGCTGGTGTCGTAGCCCAAAAGAATACACACCACGCATCCAAGTACTTCCGCGTCTAATAATATGGACCAAACATTATAAGTTCAAAATTATTTTAGCAACATAAAGAAACGACGATATCCAATTGATTGTAACACTTTTGGCAACTCCAAGAGAATAAATTGTGGTCATACACTTAAGTGCATCACTTCTGCTGATCTTGTCTCCATCAACCAACCAGAGAAAAGAAGCTCCCACCCATACATCTTTAAAGTGCGAATATATGTCAAAAGTTCTACTGTTCTCCTAATCCTGTTAATGAGGAAAGATGAAAGAACACAAAAATCTTATTATGTGAAAACTTACTCTAAGAGATAGTATTTCTGTTATTATGAAACATATATTGTATGTTGTCAACAATCTGTCTCTAAATGAACAGCGTGTCAATAGGATCTCTTTCAAAAAAGACATATCCCTTCTCCTTCTCTCTCGATTATCACCTAATGATTACAACAAGATTGAAATAGAAAGCACAAATTGAACAGAATTCACCTTTGTTACAGGAAAATGGAAACATACCTCTCATCCTTTTGCTTCATCATTTTCTCACTGGCATTTGCAATTAATTTGGATATCCACTTATTAACTGCAGATAGGGGATTTCAATCTTAATATATGAGGTCTCCATATATAAGTTGTAATGACATTATATGCATCACGCTATGAAGAGAGTTCAAATAACGTCTTCAAAATCAATAACACGCTTTTCAAGGATGCCACCACAATATTAGGTTAGCTAAAAGAAAGAATACCTGGTATCAAGGAAATGGTTATAGCAATTCCAGACACAAAAGCAAATTCTACTTGTGTATATAGAAGGTACAAAGCCACTCCAATTTGAAAAGGCAAGCTGAAACATGGAGGGCACTAGAGAAATCAAAAGATGGGCAGAAATTTATCACCAAAGAGAGAAGAAACTCCAATTTCAGATTAATTCTAAAAATCCAAGCTCAAGAATTTATTGAATTAAAAAAAAGGGGAATGTAGAATATGTCCGTACCTCCACATATCATGGAAAGTATTACATGAGTTGATAGTTCGATCAACATCTATAGACATGAATGTCTGAATTTCCCCCTCAGTGAATTTCGATCGCTCTGCTAGGTTGATGTGTAGACACTGAAGGAAAATATAAATTTAGATAAAGCATGAGAGTTCATGGTAAAACAATGGGGAAAATGAGATAGATATTATTTATTGCTTTGCTTAAAAAAAAAAAAAAAGGAACGGTGCCAATACTACGGAAAAAAAAGCCTATATAATTATTGGGTTTATCTTCGATCCTTCACGAGTAATAGAGAGAACATACCTGCTGATAGATAACAGTCATAATACCAGACCGTAGCTTTAGTCTAAGCTTGGTAAGATGAAAGGTATATTGTGTATCCAACAAGGATCTGCCAATGTAAGTCCGACATTCACCAGAACTCAATATCAGGATAAAGCAAGTAACACAATATTTTGACACACGAACTTCCAACTGACTAAACATGTTTAGGAACAGAAACAATAAGAATCTAAGAAAATTTCAGGGGAAAACCAAATGTGTTGCAAGATATTCATCCGAATTAGAGGAGATTGTGCCAAAAATAGAGTTATTAGGATTGATTACGATTTGATTTAGTTTCCTAGAATAGCTACGTGTATAGTCGTCGATCAGCTATTTATTTCCTAGGATAGTTTCCTAAAATAGTTCTTTGTATAGCTATTTATTTGTACAATTATATTCTGATCATACATATCAATAATATACGTTATTCAATCATAAAATGTTTATCATTGAGTTGATGCACATACACCTTAGAGAGTCTTGATAATCGTGCTTTCATCTAAAGATTATAGCAATAAATGACTTGCGTGTTAAGACATGAACATAGTTTCAATACTTGAGGTAAAAGAGGAGGGGAAAAAAGTAGTAATGTCTTTAAAACCCAGGATTGGAATTACTTAAAGATTGATGTGAGCCCCAATGATACTGCAAGAACATAGCCATCCACGTGCCCTGAACCTGATATAGAAATAGAGTTATTGATGAAAACATGTTTGCTATACTGTTGTCAATTATAATTTCATATCGAAGACATAAGGTGTGTGCGCGCACCTAGACACACACACAAATATTTAGCAGGTTAAAAGGAAAATAATACATGCTCACTCATATTGAATATGAATTTCCTAAAACAACACAATAATTTAAACACCTTTCCCAACATATAAATAATACATGAAAATCAAAACCTCTAATTTATGGCTGCAAACCTTGATCAAGAAATCGAATCAGTTTGTTGAGAAGCAATGGTCCAACAAAACCAACACAATCATTAAGCACCTGGAAAAATTTGACGCAATGCCAGACAAAATAAATGAGTAACTAGCAGCAGCAGCAGCAGTTAATTTATAACGAATTTGATAAGTTTTTCCAGAATATAGGAGGCAAAAGTGCCTAACAGAATTGAGCTACCTTCAACAAACCCAAACGAAAATATGGCCATCCATACGCATGACAGATTGCCATTAACAGAGACGGATTAGAACAATCATTACTGCATTGTGATTGCCAAGATCTCAACAATGTATCATGACAACAAGAGGGATCCATATCAGCGGGAAGCCGGAGCAAATCGTCAAAGTCAAGCTGCTTTATCACACCATGATTCATTACGGATGCGATAGATTTGAATGTAACAAGATCCAAATAACTCTGATTGCTTCCCTTCAAAAACCCAAGTTAAATAGATAAAACATTAGAGGGCTTTTCATCTGTGCTAGCCTTGATCATACGAATGATATGACTGCCCTTTAACTTACCGAGTCCCTGTCGCAACCTTCCTCGAGGTCCACATCAGATGAAAGTAGTGGATCTTCCATTAAACTGCAATTTAGAGAAGCAGAGAACCTGATATATTGAACTACACAGCGACTTTTATGCAACCATGCTGTTGACATGAGATTGAAAAAGAATGATTGATCAGATTATACCTGCTCTTGGAAGATTTTCGTTTTACTGTGATAATGTTAATCGACAGTCCAAACATAATATCAAATAAAACAATACTGCTCTCTTTGATACAACTCAGTACCTATCAAGACCAAGAAAATAAAACTTCATTACTAAAGCACAAAGCAAGTAAAAACAAACCATTACATTTTTTTTTTTTAAATGAACCAATACAATTATGTTATTGCAAAAATTTGTCGCAAGAAGTGGATAAACAAGCCTAAACAGATTTTAAACTCGAAGGCATGTTGACTTTACATCCTATTAGTACTGCCACTATACACTCGAGAAACCTCATTAACCAACAGATGGCCAGAAGAAAATTGTTGGAAAAAAATTACAGTACCTCAAATGAGTTATATACTGTTAGTAAGTTCGGAATCCCGGCTAGCACTTTTATAATCCACCAGAAACATAAAATTCGGTTGCAAATGACGCAGCTGTAGTTGGCAAACTTTGATAACAGTATGATAGCTGCCTACATATTGAATATCAACGAGTCAAGACATATGCTAAATATATCACGCCATACTTTATAGAAACAAAACAAGCAGCAATTGTATTAACAATGCTTACCCACACCGTGAAACGAGAACAAACGAACAACCATTGATAATGTTCTACAAACTCTCCTCGAAGTGCTTTCTTGAAAAGAAAAACTATGTCCAGAAAGGTCAAAGAGGCTCCAATGGCAGGAAGAAAGTACAATAAAAGCTTTTCTGAAAGGTTCATCTGTGCAGTGCCAAAGGCCATTAGTATAATATACATACATACATATGTATGTGTGTGTATATATATATATATATATAGTTCATGAACAACCGACGAAATCCTAATAAACCATAAACATACCGTCCAATTTCTTCTGCCATTCCTTTGGGTTATTCCAAGTACAGCAATCAGAAAGACAGTTACAGAATTTGTCACAAAACCTAAAACAGTAAGGACTGTAAAGGAAAAGCAATTCCTGCTCAAAATAAATACCTTTTGCATGGGAGTGCAAATCATAAAATGCCATTTTTTTAATATTAAGGAAAGAGTCGCGAAAAAAAAAGCCATAAATCTGAAAGGATATATGTTTTCAAAACATTTGGAGAATCCACTCCCATCCCACACCTGAAATCCAAAAAAAAAAAAAAAAAAGATCATGTCATAATTCATAAATTCATATTTTTTAAGTAAAAATTAAAATATCATACAACTAAAATGATTTTTAGCAGTCCGATCATATAAAAATAAAATAGCATACAAAGTGAGAAATGAATAACATGTTGGCGATTGAAGCATAGAGGAATACTGCTTGCTTAACAAATAAAAAGAGTAAAAAAAAAAATCAAATTCTAATTATTTTCCTTTACGTTACGTTGATACGAAAGCTTTTACAAAAAATAAAATAAATAAATAACAGTGAAAGTGATGTTACGTTCTTAGCAACCAAGAGAAACAATATAAAGAAAAGCAATAAAAAATAATAATAAAAAAACAGAGTACTAATGCTAAAATATTCAGCTCTGTTTAATATGTTCACACCAAAGAAGGAAAACTACAAGGTCGATTTTTCTTTCCTGCAAGAGTTTTCTCAGCAACCAAACAGAGTAATACGAGAAAAAGAAGGAAATAAATAAGAAAATCGTTGAGAAATAAAGCGGGAAATGAACAGTCTTTTGAGAGAGAGAGAGAGAGAGTGACTTGAACTGAACAGAGCAAAAAATAAAATTTACAGAGAAAAAAAGGATTAAATTGAGGAAGTTAAAAGAGGCGTACGGGTGGAGAATTAGGGCAAATAAGGTTGAAGAAAGCTTCCATGGCATGGCAGGTTGGTTCGTCGGAGAGAGGAGAGAGAGAGCAACGGTCGGGAAGTGTAACCGTGAAAGCTGCAACTGCAAAGTGCCAATTTCTATTCTTATAAAAAAAAAAAAAAAAAAAAAAAAAAGTGGCGATTTCTTGCACTTGCAAAAAGCGTGGGAATTTTAAGCCGTCTGCCACGTGGATACGACATGGTTGCAAAATCTAAGGGCAATCGGTGACCACAAGAAGGATTTTTTTTTTTTGAGAAAACTACACGAATTTTGCGCAAGTCTACTATTTGCGTCATGTTTTTTTTTATTTTTTTATTAATTAAATAACAATTATTTATTTTTAAATAAACTGACTAATATTTTTTTTTACCATTTAAAGTGTTATTTCTGATTTATTTCTTCTTTTTTATTAAAAAAAGTGATTTTGTTAGAAAATAAAATTTTGTACTAAAAGTTTGAAGAAATATCGCTAATTTCGAATTGTAATACAACATATTGATCAATGGAAATATAATATCAATTTTAGAAAAATTCAAATGTATAAAATTGTGATAGATGATAAGAAAAAGTATTTAGAATTTCTTTTTTTCCGCTGAAAAAAAGGTGTTTTGTTTTGTTTTATTTTATTTTTGTTATGAGAATTTGATAATAAATTTGATTCAAATTGCTCAAAATTTTTTTTTTCAGTGCTAAGTTTTTACAAAGCAAAGACATACATTGTACAATAATGTTTACATTCTAAAGCAAGTTGCTCAGAATAGAATGATAGAATATATATATGTGTGTGTCTATATATATATATATATATATATATATATATATTTATTCTATAAATAAATATATATATATATAAACAATCTATTTTCGTTTTTTTTTTTAATAAGAGTGGAGGAAGAAAAATCTTTTAACAATAACTTTATTATGTCATTAAACATGATCGCGATATGTCAGAATTTTTCAACTTTTCATTACTTGATGTGGTCATTAAATTAATGATTCAAGCACAACTCAGTTTTAAGGAGTCTTCTTTTTATGATTAAAATGAAATGAAAAAAAAAAAGGCCAAAGTGCTTTAAAATGACAGCTTTTGTTGGGCGGGGGAAAAAAAGAAATGAAAGTCACGTTTATTTTATCAATTCGAGTTTTATTATAATAAAAAATTATTAGAAATATACACATTTAATATTTTTATTAAGATAAAAAATTTTCACATAAAATTACATCTCAATTTAAATTAACGAATTAAACGAGCTCAAAAGTTTTTATTTTTAAGGAGTTTTTCCGGTAATTTGCTCCGCTAATAGTTATAATTTTTGACCCTTAGAAATGAAAGAAAAAAGGCCAAAGTGCTTTAAAATGACAGCTTTTGTTGGGCGGGGAAAAAAAGAAATGAAAGTCACGTTTATTTTATCAATTCGAGTTTTATTATAATAAAAAATTATTAAAAATATACACATTTAATATTTTTATTAAGATAAAAAATTTTCACATAAAATTACATCTCAATTTAAATTAACGAATTAAACGAGCTCAAAAGTTTTTATTTTTAAGGAGTTTTTCCGGTAATTTGCTCCGCTAATAGTTATAATTTTTGACCCTTACATCTAGTAAATCACATTATATTGAAAAATATACGCAGAATAAATAAATTTTAATACAAATTTAACGGTGAAAAATAAAAGACCGTTGGTATTCTTATTTTGCATGGATTATCAAAAGAAGTCCCTTACTTTTAAGATCCAACGAATGGGATAAAAATAAAGATTATTCTTCAGGGACTACTTATATTGCTGTCTCAAGAGTTTCACTTAAAACAGTAGCACCACAAAAGTCATTGAGCATGCGCTCCACTTCATACATCCACTTAGCAATAAAAAAGAGAGAAAAAGAGAAAAGAAAAAAGAGCAGCATGGGGGTGACAGATTGCACAACATGGCTAATAAGTAAAACAAAAACTTTATGGGCTTGTAAGATTAATATCTAAATTTTTAGTGGGGGACAAATGTATTAATAATACAATACATATTCAAATATATAGATTCTTAAAAATTAAAAAATTTGATCGGGAGCTCAGATTACATAGCTCCGTCTATGAGGTCAGGGGCTGAAGCTGGCTAAGAACACAGGGCTACAGCCCACAGATGGACATGCCAGGGTGTGGATCCCAAATCTCAATCAAGGATTGAAAACTCGACGTTTTCACTTTTCACTGATATTTTTACCGAAATTTGGAATTTTAAAGAGTTCGTTTGGTACGAGGATTCAAACCATGATGATTCTAATCATAATTTTAAAATCAGAATTATGATTCATGATTTTGGGTTCAAATAATGATTTTGAAACCATGATTTAGAATCAAAGGTTTGAATCACCTTGAATCAATAGGAGGGTGATTTTAGAATCATGATTTGAGCTAATTTAAAACATCACATCAGATTTTGAATCATGATTCAAAATCACTGTAAATAAACACTGATTCTGAACTACGATCCAGAATCATGATTCTAGATCCATCTACCAAACGCACCATAAAGTACCGATATAAAAATAGACATGCAGTATTTTTTTGTATAACATCGTAAAATTTTTCAAGAGAATTTCAAAACATATCAATATTTTTACACATAAATACCCATTTTTGTGAAAAGTGTAGTGTTAAATTATCAAATATCGTGAAAATTTTATAAAAATTTCTTAAAAACATCTATAAGATTTTTGAGAAATGTCGAGGTCCTTATTTTTTTTAATGTGCTTTTTAGTTATGTAAAATTTATGTTATTTTTTACTTCACACTCAATATTTGTATGAATGTTGTTTAAATAAAAAAAATGTGTTCAAAATTCCCTCAAACCTCTTGTAAGCTCCTTTTGGTATTAATAATTAATCATCTTATATGAAACCATAAATATAAGCTATCCGTATTATGTTGATTTTCACCTTATTCATTCAATTTGTGAGTGTGTGCTTATTATTTATGATATTATAATCACATTTTTCCATATATATTTATCCTACAGCTTGTATTTTGATTTAGAGGTTCATTAATTCATGTGTTATTAGTTATTTTAAAGTTTCATAAAATAACATTTAAAAGTAACGCATTTTAGTGTGAATTTACGTATGTTTCTACTAATATCGATATTTTTATCCTTCATTTATTTTTTTCACATTATTATTTTTTTTCACATTATTATTAATATAATCTACATCATTTTCAATTACAACTCAAAACTCAAGACGTGCATCAATCATACCTACACTTACAAAATAAAAAGAATAAGAAAGTTTATTCGGTAGTCTGTCGTACTGATATTTTTAATTTTTAACCGTTAAATTTATAAATTTTGAAAAGTAAGAAATTATTGGTTGTATGTTTTTACAGAGACTATAGAAAAAGTCCCAAAAGCAAGAGGACTACTTTAGAAAGGGAACAGGATTTGACGTGGCGAAAACATAATTCAAGGAAAAGACAAGGACCAAACAGTAAGAACAGAGACAGTGGGTGTTTGAGGTCAGTTGTCATCTAATCAGTGTGTGGACTGAAACTGAACTTAGAGCTAGTTTCCCTCGGTTTCTGTGTCACAGACTTAACCGAATCCGAAGCATCAACCATGGCCGTGCCAACCATGGCGGCCTTCTCAGTCTCATCACCGCACTCCTTCTGCCCACTTCGTCCGACCACCTTATTAGTATACCCACCACCTCCAATATTTTCCTTCATCAATTTCTCTCTTCCAAAGCTTAACCTTCCATTGAAGACCAAAATCCGTATCAAGTGTTGCGTTAAGGAAGGACAGGCTTCTTCTTCTTCTTCTACAACAGATCCCAAGGTGGGAGTTGCACTCTACAAACCTAAGTCGTACGAGGTTCTTGTCACTGATGCCGCCAATTCTCTTGCTTTTGCTCTCCAAGACGGAAAGACCCGCTTGGAGATTGATTTCCCGTATATTCTTTTCTTCTTCTTCTTCTTCTTTTTTACGATTTCCATTTTTGCATTCTTATCATTATTATATGTTCTTTGTTCACTCGTCACTTTGAATTCTTTTTAGTAATTATAGTAATAACCACAACCATGGTAGCGCATTCTCTTATTACTCGTAGTAATTCCCGAATTAACGAAATTCAAGTTTATAATCTTGATTCTAGGATATTTGTTATTCTTTCCATTTTTGTACCTTTCTAACAGTATATATTCATTAACAAAATAAATCTCTTAGTATTGCATTTTCAGATTTTTCTATCCTAATAGTCCTTTTTTTTTTTTTTTTTTTTTTTTTTTTTTCCCCCTTGAAGGCCCTTGCCTAGCAACGTATCTTCATATAAGGTACCTTTCTTTATTCTAAGATTTTCTCTGTAACCAACTAATTCATCATGCATTGTCCTGAATTAAAAAATTGTTCTATCTTGTTAGTTGCGACCCAATATAGCCGTTAGCATTATTTTGTCATTTCTTCGAATTTAAGAAAAGTTTTACTTTTACTAATCATACTTAACTATGGTGCATTTTCAGTGTTACTCTTTGATTCATTCTCATAATTGACATTGCTAATATGGCTAGTTGATGACACATATGAATCTGAATATAGATAATCTTTCTGAAATTCCTAAAAATGTAAAGGGATCTTCAGATGAATTCATAGATGCAAACATTCAACTGGCTTTGGCTGTTGTGAGGAAGCTCCAAGAAAGAATCGAAACCCGAGCCTGCATTGTAAGCAGAGTATTTGCTTTCATATGTAGGTAGCTAGCTTATAAGCTACACAAAAGATGTTGATTTTTCCAAATTGTTTCGAATTTAGGTGTTTCCTGACAAGCCAGAAAAGCGTAGGGCATCGGAGTTGTTCAAAGCAGCGCTAGACTCGGTAACGAAATATCTCATAATCTCTGTGATATCTATGTAGTCTATGAATATTTATGCTGAGTAATTTGGAGTTCTAAGGCTGTTATTTGCTTGAGTTTTGTTGTGTTCATCCCAATATGTAGGCCTTCTCTAGTCCTAATAGGTTTGGAGGGGTAGGAGGAACTTTAGTTTCCAACAACAACAAAAAAAAAAAGCCTCAAAATTGTTTGCAAAATGGTATAACCATATAGGTGTCTAGTTTGGATCTTAAATGTGTACTATTGGCATAATAGTAGGCCTTTATATTAGCAAGATTTTTCATTTTCTTTTTTATTATTGTTTCAGATTGATGGTATAACCATAGGTTCCTTGGATGATGTTCCTGCTGGTGCTGTCACCTCATTCTTTAGATCAATAAGGAACACACTTGACTTCGATTTTGAAGATGAAAATGAAGGTTGGTCATGAAAATAAGTTCTTCAATGCTTAAAATAAGAGCTTAACTTTTGTACCTTCTTTCATCTCTTGCAAATGCAGGTCGTTGGGTTTCCAATACACCGCCATCTCTCTATGTATTCATTAATTGTAGCACGCGTGAACTTGCTTCCATTGAGAAGTATGTGGTATGTCTTCTTCACTGATAGAAAATTCTGAACTTTTTTCTTTTCATTTCAGTAGACCAATTGAAACATGAGAATGCCTTTGAATAACATTTGTCATCCTTCCATTTCATTGCGAAAACTACTATTGGTGTCGACAATGTTCAGGAAAAATTTGCAGTGTCAACCCCGGCGCTCCTATTTAATCTCGAACTTGAAACATTGCGGTAATCTTTATGTCATTCTAGACCTTAATTTATAATTATTATTTTTTTCACTGTTTAATATGCTCTTCATTCTCAAAAGCTGTTAACTTTGCAGAGCTGACTTGGGTCTTCTTGGATTTGCTCCCAAGGAACTGCATTATCGATTTCTTTCTCAATTCATTCCTGTGTTCTATATTCGAACCAGAGAATACTCAAAGGTACACTTTATCTATCCATCTCTTTCACGCTTAATTTTCAATTCTTGGCTCAAACTTAGATAACCATTTGTTCTGAACTTCTAAGACAGTAGCAGTAGCACCTTACATCGTAAATTACAATGGGGCACTGTTTCGCCAATACCCTGGTACTTAACACCTTAACAGCCGTACAACTTTCTCATTTCACTTTCTTTTCCCTTATATATTCCTGATTCTGCACTTTGTCACTTCCCTTAGTCTTTTTCAAACTTTGTCCAGGGCCGTGGCAGGTTATGCTTAAACAAGCAGATGGTTCTTTCGCTTGTGTAGCAGAGAGTGCAACTCGGTTCACACTCGGTGAAGTAAATATTTGTCTCAAACTCCAATCCACATTTGCTTTTTGTCAATTTCCAGAAATACTTTTTTTTTTAAAGAAATATTTGAGACTAATCTCTCATTGTGCTGTGTAGGTTAAAGAAGAATTGCTGAGGGTCCTCGGGCTACAAGAGGAACAAGGAAGCTCGCTAGAATTTCTTCGCAGAGGCTACAAGGTTTGATCACCTTAACTAGTTTCTTTCATTTGTTTACCTCCATATATTTGGTTAAAATTTTTTATTATTTATTTTACTTCAGCAGAGTTTTCACCATGAATATTGGCATGCAAGTCTAGTAACTAGTGGTAAAACTGAGATTGTAGGCAGCTACCTGGTGGGAAGAAGATGTTGAATCAGAAGTATCTTCTGAATGGCGCAGCTGAGAGGCATCAACAGAAAGGTAACAAAACATATAGAAACTTGTCGCTCTTTGTTGAGATAATCTGTCAGAGGCATGGCTTGAGTTTCTTTCCTTATACTTGTAAGTTGAAAACTTGAAATGTAGTCATTTTCTTGTTTACTTCAGGATGAAAGTGATTGAACTTTTGCGGGATATATAGGATATCTAAAAAACTCTCATTCTTCGTTGAGTTGCATAGAAAGTATATGGAAATGAAGAATTTTTTTATCTTGCAAAATTTTCAAATCTGTGTAATGAAAAAATTTCTGATGAGTTGCATACTTCTACAAATGGAATCATTGTTAATGATGCAGAACATTTACAAGAGCTGACAAAATCAGCTTCAATGTTTTCACCCTAAAAATAAAGAGAATTAATCGGCACCATACTCGGAGAAGTCAGGTTCAGGGGGTTTCTGCAGATTGACAAGCCTCCTGGTACTTTCGCTGCGAAGCCTGTGACCACGAAGCGCATTTGCTGCAAAGCGGGATGCAAAGATGGTGGCACGAAGCCTAGAGGAACTCATACTCCGATCAACTAAAGCCCTTTCATCATCTTCCTGGCTGTAATTGAACTCTCCTTCCTCCTCCTCTTCCCTACGTCGTTTTTCAGCCAGTTTTCTCCTGGCATACCGACGCCAAGCAGTTTGTATAAAGCAGGCAGCCCAAGTTCTCCACTGCTGCGAGTAGAAGCGGAAGGTGTGTTGAACCTGTCTGCTATGAAGACGCCTAAACTGACTGGCAACGAACTTCAACTCCTCTGCTTCCAGAGCAAAAGCCTCGACCTCTGTTATGGCATTAACCGTTCTAGTAGATGAGGGTAAGTTGGAACCGGCTTTTGGATCCAGTGCCCATGTTAGGAGCTCTTCTCCACAGAAATCTCCTTCTTTCAGTAAACCTCTGTTGAAAAAACCACTCCTACCACCATCTGTGGTCACACTTTCTAAACGACCACGTATGATGAATAACATCTCGGCAACTGGGTCACCTTCCCTAACTAGATAGGTACTCTCTGTGTACAAACTTGGCTTAAGACGTTCACAAATGGCATCAAGCAACCGCTCATCCATGTTGGCGAAAAGAGGAACCTGCATTGACAACCATGTTAAAAACCCATACCTGAAAGAGTGGTTTTTAGCTTAGCCACTTAAATAGTGTTTTTACTTCGAAGAATGCCTCCTCTAAAAGTTGCCAATACTTACCCTTCTGACCAAATTCAAACAAAGGTGGCGTTTAATGTCTCTTCTGAGATCTTTTGGTAAGCTTTGGACTATGCTCTCCTCATCCACACCTCGAGTTTCCAGCCATTTGTATTGATTATAGCGACGGACTTTTTCCCTAAGCTCTTGTGGAAGCAAACGATGGTGCATCCACTGCTCGGAGTCGCGCCTCTTGATCCTCATTTCTTCAAGTCGAATTGTAATGGACTGAAGATAAGTCTGTTGCAATTTCCAAAGATGAGACACTCTTGAAAAACAAGTTTGGCATATGTGAGTCACCCACAATCTTTTGTCATAAGTTTACCTGTATATTTCCAATCAGAAGCGCGAAAAGGACGAGACCAGCGATGCCTATTGCTATGGAAAAGAGAACCTCCAAAGGGTAGGTACTGGTTTGAAGTCCCTGACCAAGAGTACTGCATAAAACAATATATTAACATGCTAAAATCACCAAATCTTCGAATTAGCCTAGTTAAAACTATATTCAAGTTCTAAAAGTTTAAAAAGAAAAGGAAAAAAAAAAGGTGACATATACCTCAAGTTTTGCATTCCCCACCACAAACAATAACAAAACTTGGAGAAAAAATTCCTGGATTCAACAATGCCTGAAGATATGGCCTGGGTATAGATTCCATACTTGAACGGTGAACTCTCCTCGGAAACAGAACAGTGAGTAACAAGAATTTGGTTACTGATTGCTTGCCAATCCTCATAACCCTCCATGTGTTTATTGCCACAATATAAATAGTCTATCTTACATTTTCCAGTACCAGTACAAGCTTCCCGCCAACATGTATCGTTACGTTCTATGGCTAGCAAGTACCAGATTGCCCCTGTTACCTGTGACATTTTATCAAGTAGCTATGAAGTAGTGCAAGAAAAAGGTAGCAGAACCAGCAATTCAAACAATAGCATTAATGACAATTTGCCAGTATAGTGTCAACTGAAGGTTTTGCATTATTATACTTGTTAAGAAGCAGGTAAGACTTACTTGACCAGAAAGCATAAACCAGAGCATATAGTAAACAGCACCAGCCCAAGCACTTTCGGCAAAAGCACCAGCCGTCTTCTTAAGTTCTGAAGTTAGTGGTATTAAGCGGACAAATCTCGGTATGAACTGCGAACAAACGATACATAGCAACGCCTGTTTCGTAGCCAGTACATCTGATCCTTTTGATCTCTTATGGAACTTCCAAACTTCAATCTGCAGATGATAAAAAATGTTAGCAGAATCCGGGAAGAAAAAGAAAACTTCTTTCTTAGGATGCAAAAGAAGTTTAACATGGATTTTTCAACCAAACCTGAGGCAAAGGAAGCACAGAAAGCAAATCAACAAAGAAATAGCGCTGCAGATATCTCATGGCTATCTGATGAGGATCAATGACAAGCTCACCACGCCCGAACACCCGAGAAGACGGCGCAATAAAAGCTGTCCTGAACTGAAGAGCCATGCGAAAAAGATAAAATGTGTCAACTACTGTTCTGAGAGTCGTCGTTGTGACCGCCAACTTTGTGTCCATTCCAAGACAATTTGATTTATAGTTAAAGACGGGAAGGTAGAAAAAAAATGGATCAATAGAAACCGCGAAGATACAAGAAATGACAAAGAGCCTGTTCCATAAGAGGAGGGACTTGTCTTGAGGATCAAATATCATTTTGTCAGACACCCTAAGGTCTTCGGGGAAAACTGCTCTGGTGACTCCTGTTCTTAAGGATCTACCAAATGTCTTTAGTCCATCTGATCCTTTCTTCATTCCGTACCGAAACGATTTTGACGGATTTTTCTTTGAACGACCAGTGAAAGGCAATCCTTCCATATTGAATTTGGACCTCTTCATCCCTCCTGTGTTTGTTGGCACTGACAATGTAGACTCCAGATCATCCAACCTATAAAGGTTTCATCGTATATGCAAACATCAAATTCTAATTCCAAACATTTTTCCAATGTTTGAGGAAATGAACCTTTTAAATATTCCTCCATATGGAATATTGAATTCTTATAGAAACAAGACGTCAAGATGACATTAAATTGTCTTCTTGTAATTGATCAAAAAAATAAGAGTCAGTCTGCAAAAACTGGAAGAAAAAAGGGAAAATGGACAAATTAATTTCATACCTGACAAATTTCTCTCTCTGGCCTCCAATGTACTGTGACTTGAATCCACACTCAAACATTTTGATGAATCGGTTACATAGGTAAAGGACTAAAATTTGAGGATTCAGAAGCAAGTTCTAGGTGAATTCACATACGACCAAATAACAGAAATCAAATTCAATCATTAGAAATTTGTTGCATTAAATTCAATCATGGTAATTATTTTTCAGTATCTATGGGGGTTTTTTTTTTCTTTTGTTTTTTTTTGAGACAAAATTCTGAAACAAGGCTACTCCTCGGTGAATACCATCCATCAAATGTATTTACTATTTTTGGCATCAAATATGCATCAAATTCGGCAATTATAAAACCTAATCCACAACAAGAATTGATCAAGGTAAATTCTAAAAAAACAGAATGATATAAAGAAAAAAAAGTTTTGGAGGAATTATCAGATAAAGTCAGAGTTTAAATACAAAATAAATAAGAAACAAAAGAATGAGGAGAGGTAATGAATAATGATCATTTTTTATTTTGAAAAGCTGATAAAAAAAATTATGAACATATTGTGAGGGATTAGGCGTTTGACGCGTAAGTTAGAGGGAATCAAGCAAACTGTCCGATGTTCCTATCTCGGTGGTTGTTTCTCTAATTAAATTTTGACACATCGTGATTTGCTTAAATATTTTTACTATTTTGTTCTTATTTACATAATAAGATTCCTAAATCTAGATGACATGGCAAATAATTAATAGAAGAACAACCACCAAAATAAGAAAATAGAGACATCTAGACTCGTTTTCAAGAGGTTGGGCAAATAGTTCTACCGTTATGACCGTTGCACATAACTTTGATTCAATGTGTAAAACGACATTTATCTTTCTTCCACATAACCAAAATGTCATTTTACCTCAGTGAGAACAAAAAAAAAAAAAAAAAAAAAAAAAAAATTTCAAAAAAGAAAAACTAAAGAAAAGAAAAGACAACGTTTATTAGCAAAATAAAAAAGGTTAAAAAAAGCGCCTTATATATTTTTTTTTCTCGGATGTAGTTTGATGAGTGAGTATTTTATTCACAAATCAAATACTTTTTACTTTGAGCATTTGTAAGTTTTTAAGCATTTTTATTAGTTTAATGTGTTTTTATTTTATTTTTGAAGGTTGAAGTTAAAATAAAATAGAAGGAACAAAAATTTCACTTCAGAACATACTTTAGTGTTTATGACATAACTCTCCCATTTAAAGTCTAAATGAAGTGATATTGGTGGCGTTAAAAAAATAAGAGATAGAAGTACAACTTTTGTGAAGATACCAAATACTAATTCGGCTACATAGAAGGCATAAATCCTCATCAAACTCACACACCTGCTGCAGCGGGAAATCCATCTGCTGCAGCGGTTGTGCCAGTTTTGTTGGGGTTTTTCAAAATTTTAGCGGCGTTGTAGTGGAAAATTGATCTGCTGTACGTCTAGACACAAAATGATGTCAATTTGAGCTGATTTGGAGAGATATAAAAGGGGAGAGACTCATTTTTCTAAAATTGGAGAGGAAGAGAGGAAAAAGAGACACAAAATCCTTAGAAAAGAAGGCTCTTTGGAGACCTAAAAACCCAGAATCCTAAAAAAGAGAATACAAGGATTTGAGGGTTTGCTTGAAGATATGAAGAAAGATTGAAGATTGCAGAGCTTGATTTGCATCTTGTTCTTCATTCTCTCTCTCTTCCTCTATTTTAACTTTGAGATTGTGTTATTTTATGAGATTTGTGATTGATTATGGATTTGGTTTTTAGTTTATTTATGCATTTTGATTTGGGATTCTATGAGATTTGAGATTTTATCATATGTCACGACATAAAGTTATTTTCAAAAACAATAATTTACAATAACAACATCTTTTCCAATTTTTAATGGTTACCCATCAAATATTTTTGCAAACAATTATTTACAATAACAACATCTTTTCCAATTTTTAATGGTTACCCATTAAATATAAAATTTTTATATGTGAAATATATTAAGAATTCTATCTCATCAATTGTCACACATTTATATATTTATATGTATATATATACACAAATATATTCCTTTCCATCATACCAATTTTGACGCTGAAAAAGGTACCACTTGAAAATTGCCGAAATAAATCGATAATACTTCGGTGATTCATACGACACAGCGTCCACCTAAATCTAATGTGGAATATAGAGTTCAAAAATCCCTCACCTCCAAGTTTCTTTTTTTTTTTTTAAAAAAAAAAAAAAATGGAGGAATATTTCCCCCAGATACTAATAACATGTATAATCTCACACTTTGCCATGGGATAGAGACGAGTAAATTCTGCGGGCAAGTATGACTAACTGGAGAGAGATATAATATAATACTTGGTAAGTGCGTCCACTAGAGAAGATACAAATCTTGAGTGAATCCTTATAATCGATCATCACCTGCCCATTATTAGACCCTTCCTCTCCTTCAAAATGATTTGTAACTGTCATAATCTATAGAAACGTGCATCATATAAAAGTCATTGTCAAGATCTTTTACTGTCTAAAGGACGTGAATGCGTGTGTGTGATACACGAGAGTATTGCAGTACAAGTTGATTTAGTCAAGAACGATGAAACTAAAAATATTGATACGACGTGACAATATTAGAATCCTATATTGATCGGAGATATTGACACGATCCACTTAATAAAGTGAGGTCAATCATCTCTTAATAAGCCGGTTTTGTTAGGATGAGTTATGCCCAATATCCTTTGATTTCTGTAAAATGGTATCAGGAAATTTTTTCTTCTGTTGCTCTGCCATTATTTTCCTCTGTCTTTTCCCAAAAATGGCCCGTGGAGGTCAAAATAACAACAACAACCGTTTTCAGCCACTCACACATCCTTCTGATACCATTTTTCTAGACTTTTACAATTTTGTGTTTACTCAGTACAACACCACTATTAAATTTGTGCGATCTAACAATGCCCCCGAATTAGCTTTCACTAATTTCTTTCACTCTAAGGGGATTTCTTCTTATCACTCTTGTGTTGACACACCCGAGCAAAACTCTGTGGTGGAATGCAAACATTAGCACATTCTTAATGTGGCTCGATGATGCAGCGCAAGGATGCTAGACTTCAAAATTAGAATTTTAATTTATTTAATTGTTTCCTTATTTTTAGCTGCTTATCTGATTTAGTTATTTTCAAATTTAGAATATTTAGGATTAGTTTTAGTTTCCTTTTCGTTTTCAAATTGTAGTCTTCTATTAGAGTCTAGCTTTGTTATTAATAGTTATTTCAGAGATTAATAAAACTTATATGCTTTGAGAGTTATCTAACATATTAATCCCAATCTTCTCAGTATTCTGTTGAATCAACAAGTGATTGATGCCTATTTTCTTAGTATTCGTGAGCGAATCAACAGGTTAATAGAAGTCTTATTTTCTGGTATTCCGATCGAATCGACGGGTTTTCCAGTATTCTACGCGAATCAACGGATAATATGAATTTATCCATTTTTTCTATTTTTCTCATTTACTTTCGCTGCGTCAGTTGGTATCAGAGCCAAAGCGCTCCTCTATCAATTTAACCATGTTGCTTTGTCATCATCCCACCGTCCATGTTAATGCACTCGCTGCCTATGAATTCAGAGACGCCCAACTTGAAGAAAAGGAAGATCTCATATCGGTTTTCAGCGCAATTACCATTGAAGAAAAATTTTTTAAGGCTCGAGTTAGCAAGTTCAACAAATTATTTGATTTCTAGACAAGTCATGCAAAGATCATGAAAGTTGTTCTCTTTCAATACGAGTTGGGGCTACTTAAGATTCGAGGACGAATCTTTTCCTACTCGGCGGGTCTGATGCAACGCAAGGATGCTAGACTTCAAAATTAGAATTTTAATTTATTTAGTTGTTTCCTTATTTTTAGCTGCTTATCTGATTTAGTTATTTCCAAATTTCAAATTTAGAATATTTAAGATTAGTTTCAGTTTCCTTTTCGTTTTCAAATTGTAGTCTTCTATAAATAGGAGAGTCTAGCTTTGTTATTAATAGTTCTTTCAGAGATTAATAAAAATTATATGCTTTGAGAGTTCTCTAACATATTGATCCCAATCTTCTCAGTATTCTGTTGAATCAATGAGTGATTGATGCCTATTTTCTTGGTATTCGTGAGCGAATCAACAAGTTTATAGAAGTCTTATTTTCTGGTATTCCGATCGAATCGACAGGTTTTCCGATATTCTACGCAAATCAACGGATAATATGAATTTATCCATTTTTTTCTATTTTTCTGATTTACTTCCGCTGCATCACTCGAGCTCTCATTTTTCAATCCTCAATCCCTCTTTGCTATTGGGGAGATTGTGTCTTAACAGCCGTATACTTGATTAACCGGACCCCATCTCCATTACTCTCAAACAAGACACCGTTTGAGCTTTTGAACAATAAAGAGCCAACTTATACCCATCTTCGTGTCTTCGGTTGTTTGTGCTATGGTTCAACTTCACCACACAATCGTACAAAATTCTCTCCTCGTGCACGAGCTTCCGTGTTCCTAGGCTATCCCTCTGATTACAAAGGATACAAACTTCTTGATTTAGAAAGCAACAAAATCTACATTTCCCGTCATGTCGTGTTCCATGAATCCATTTTTCCATTCACCCATTCCCAACCTGCACCCACTCATTATGATTTTTTCTTTGACCGTGTTCTTCCTACACCTATTTCAGTTCCTTCTGATATATCGTCTCCTCCACCTCATCCTTACCTTCCCCTACCCCTGCCCCCTCCTCTTCAATACCTGTTTCTCGCCCACAACGAATAACCAGACCCCCTTCTTCCTTATCGGATTATCATTGCTACCTAGCTACTCATTCCCCTCTGCCTTCTGGTGTCAACCCTTTCTCTTCCACCTCTCATCTTTGACTCTTTGAGGAAATTTTTTGTGTCGTTCAACATGGTTTATGTCAATACCATGTTTCTGTTTCTTGTGCTCCAACACGCAGTCTTAACTTGGGGTTGGGGCCGCCCAGCTCGGGATCATGGTCCTTATCACCACCATCCTCGCCACTCTCTGGTTGTGGACAAAGCCGCTCTTCTGCGTTTCAAGAAAGGCATCATAGAAGACCCCTTTGCCACGCTTTCCAACTGGAACGACTCTACTCACGTCTGCCGCTTCAACGGCATCCGATGCGACAGGCATAGCAACCGAGTTTCGCAACTCATCCTTAACGAGAGCCAACTCGTCGGTCTCCTTTCGCCTTTTCTTTCGAATCTCACCGGCCTTCGGGTTCTATGGATTGTTAATAGTCACTTGTTTGGCACCATTCCTCATGAATTCTCTTCCCTTAGACACCTTAAATCTCTAAGGCTTGATGGCAATAAACTGCACGGTCCAATACCAAATTCCCTTTCCCATCTTCCCAATCTAAACACATTACTTCTCTTGAATAACAATTTTACCGGTAGATTGTCTCCTGCTTTCTTCTCCAACTGCTCTTCATCACTGCAAATTCTAGACGTCTCCGGAAACTCCATTTTCGGAGAAATCCCTGTGGAGATTGGGAATTGCATAAGCCTGTGGAACCTCAATCTTTACAACAATCATTTTACAGGAGTACTTCCTCACTCTTTGACAAATATTTCATCACTTTTGAATTTAGACGTGGAATACAATCATTTTTCAGGTGAATTACCCACAGAGATTATTGGCAGTTTGCCTTCCCTTATTTATCTTTATCTGTCGTTTAACAAGATGAAAAGCCATAATGGGAACACTGATCTCAGCCCATTCTTTGATGCTGTTCGGAACTGCACTGGCCTAGAGGAGCTCGAGATGGCGGGCATGGGCTTCGGCGGAACATTGCCTGCTTCCATTGGCCAATTACTTGGTGCCAACTTGACAGTCATGTTATTGCAAGACAACAAAATTTTCGGATCAATTCCTCCAAGTATATCTAATTTTTCAAAGCTTAGGACGTTGAACTTGTCATCCAACCTCATGACTGGAACAATTTCGGATGAAATGCGCGTGTTACCGAGGTTGGATCAACTTTCTCTGTCGCACAACTGCTTCTCTGGTCCAATTCCAAAAGTGTTGGGCAAATTTCCTTCTTTGGGTTTGCTTGATCTTTCACACAACAAATTCTTTGGAGAAATCCCAGAAAGTCTAGGAAATTTGTCTCGGTTGAGTAATTTGTTCCTCAACAACAATCAGCTTTCTGGTAAGATTCCTTCCACGTTGGGACGCTGCACGGAGCTGCTGACGATTGATTTGTCCTACAATAGGCTGGCGGGGAAAATCCCTTCTGAAATATCAGGTATGAGTGGAATTAGAATATTTATAAACTTCTCAAATAATCAGCTTGAAGGCCCTTTGCCACTCGAGCTAAGCAAACTAGAAGATGTTCAAGAGATGGACTTTTCATCGAACAACCTCAGCGGATCCATTTTCCCGCAGATATCAAGCTGCATTTCAGTGCGGTTGATAAATTTCTCGAATAACTCTCTAGAAGGGAAACTTCCAGATTCTCTAGTTGATCTAAAAGACCTTGAAAGTTTTGATGTTTCAAGGAATCACTTGTCTGGAATAATTTCATCAAAGCTGAACAATAGTGTCACACTTACATATCTTAACCTCTCATTCAACGACTTTGTGGGAACAATTCCCTCCGGGGGCATCTTCAATTCTGTCACCCAATTGTCATTCTTGGGAAATTCGCGTCTTTGCGGAATAGTTGGTGGCACACCATTACCCTGCTGCAAGCGACCCCTCTGCACTCACAAGAGACATTTATTTCATTCTCGAGTTTTCCTGATCGTCTTTCTCATTATGACGATATCATTAGCCTCGTTCTTGGCAACATGTTGTGCCTTCTGCCGCGGGTGCATTGGTGTGGTGTAGTGACCAAGAAAATCTTATAATTTAAATAATGCAATTCATGTATTTAAGTCAAGGATTTTTCCTGAAAAAAAATATATTATGTATATTTTGTGATTGAATCCACACTCAAACATTGTCAAACATAGGTAAAGGACTAAAATCCACACTCAAACATTCTCCAATGTACTGTGACTTGAATCCACACTCAAACATTTTGATGAATCGGTTACATAGGTAAAGGACTAAAATTTGAGGATTCAGAAGCAAGTTCTAGGTGAATTCACATACTACCAAATAACAGAAATCAAATTCAATCATTAGAAATTTGTTGCATTAAATTCAATCCTGGTAATCATTTTTCAATATCTATGGGTTTTTTTTTTTTTTCCAGACAAAAGTCTGAAACAAGGCTACTCCTCGGTGAATACCATCCATCAAATGTATTTACTATTTTTGGCATCAAATATGCATCAAATTCGGCAATTATAAAACCTAATCCACAACAAGAATTGATCAAGGTAAATTCTAAAAAAACAGAATGACATAAAGAAAAAAAAGTTTTGGAGGAATTATCACATAAAGTCAGAGTTTAAATACAAAATAAATAAGAAACAAAAGAATGAGGAGAGGCAATGAATAATGATCATTTTTTATTTTCAAAAGCTGATAAAAAAAAATTATGCACATATTGTGAGGGATTATGTGTTTGACGCGTAAGTTAGAGAGAATCAAGCAAATTGTCCGATGTTCCTATCTCGGTAGTTGTTTCTCTAATTAAATTTTGACACATCGTGATTTGCTTAAATATTTTTACTATTTTGTTCCTATTTACATAGTAAGATTTCTAAATCTAGATGACATGACAAGTAATTAGTAGAAGAACTACCACCAAGATAAAAAAATAGAGACAGCAGATCTAAACTCATTTTCAGGAGGTTGGGCAAATAGTTCTACTGTTATAACCGTTGCACATAACTTTGATTCAATGTGTAAAACGACATTCATCTTTCTTCCACATAACCAAAATGTCATTTTGCCTCAGTGAGGAAAAAAAAAAACACTTTAAAAAAAAAACCAAAGAAAAGAAAAGACAACGTTTATTAGCAAAAAAGGTTAAAAAAAGCGCCTTATATATATATATATATATTTTTTTTTTTTTTCTTCTCGGATGTAGTTTGATGAGTGAAAATTTTATTCACAAATCAATTACTTTTTACTTTGAGCATTTGTAATTTTTAAGCATTTTTATTAATTTAATGAGTTTTTATTTTATTTTTGTAGGTTGAAGTTAAAATGAAATAAAATGAACGAAAATTTGACTTCGGAACATATTTCAGTATTTAGGATATAATTCTCTCATCTAAAGTTCAAATGAGATGATCTTAGTGGCGTTGGAAAGATAAGAGACAGAAGTACAACTTTTTGTGAAGATGCCAAACACTAATTCAGCCATATAGAAGGCGAAAATCTTTATCAAAATCATACACCCGCCGCAGCAGGAAATGCATCCGCTGCAGTGGTTGCGCCAGTTTTGCTGGGGTTTTTCAAAAATCTTAGTGGCGCTGTAGTGGGAAATTGATCCGCTGCAGTGTCCAGACACGAAATGCTATTAGTTTGAGCTGATTTGGAGATATATAAAAGGGGAGAGACTCATTTTTCTAAAATTGGAGAGGAAAAAAAGGCACAAAATCCTTAGAAAAGAAGGCTCTTTGGAGACCTAAAAACCCAGAACCCTAAAAAGGAGAATACAAGGATTTGAGGGCTTGCTTGAAGATCCGAAGAAAGATTGAAGATTGCGGAGCTTGATTTGCATCTAGTTCTTTATTCTCTCTCTCTTCCTCTATTTTAGCTTTAAGATTGTGTTATTCTATGAGATTTGTGATTGATTATGGATTTGGTTTTTAGTTTGTTTATGCATTTTGATTTGAGATTCTATGAGATTTGAGATTTTATCATATGTCATGACATCAAGTTATTTTTAGAAACAATAATTTACAATAACAACATCTTTTTCAATTTTTAATGGTTATCCATCAAATATTTTCAGAAACAATAATTTACAATAACATTTTTTCTAATTTTTAATGGTTACTCATCAAATATAAAAATTTTATAATGTGACATATATTAAGAATTTAATCTCATCAATTGTCACACATTTATATATCTATATATATACACATATATATTCCTTTCCATCATACCAATTTTGAAGCTGAAAAAGGTACCACTTGAAAATTGCCGAAATAAATCAATAATACTTCGTTGATTTATACTACACAGCGCCCACCTAAATCTAATGTGGAATATAGAGTTCAAAAATCCCTCACCTCCAAGGTTTTATTTTTATTTTTATTTTTATTTTTATTTTAAATCAAGGAATATAATAACATGTATAATCTCACACTTTGCCATGGGATAGAGACGAGTAAATTCTGCGGGCAAGTATGACTAACTGGAGAGAGATATAATATAATACTCGGTAAGTGCGTCCACTAGAGAAGATACAAATCTTGAGTGAATCCTTATAATCGATCATCACCTGCCCATTATTAGGCCCTTCGTCTCATTCAAAATGATTTGTAACTGTCATAATCTGTAGAAACGTGCATCATATAAAAGTCATTGTCAAGATCTTTTACTGTCTAAAGGACGTGAATGCGTGTGTGTGATACACGAGAGTATTGCAGTACAAGTTGATTTAGTCAAGAACGATGAAAGTAAAAATATTGATACGACGTGACAATATTAGAATTATGACTCTTTGAGGAAATTTTTTGTGTCGTTCAACATGGTTTATGTCAATACCATGTTTCTGTTTCTTGTGCTACAACATGCAGTCGTAACTTGGGTTTGGGGCCGCGCAGCTCGGGATCATGGTCCTTATCACCACCATCCTCGCCACTCTCTGGTCGTGGACAAAGCCGCTCTTCTGCGATTCAAGAAAGGCATCACAGAAGATCCCTTTTCCGTGCTTTCAAACTGGAATGACTCCGTTCATGTCTGCCACTTCAACGGTGTAAAATGCGACAGAAATCACCACCGAGTTTCTCAACTTGTCCTCAACGAGAGTCAACTCGTCGGTGTCCTTTCGCCATTTCTTTCGAATCTCACCGGTCTTCGTATTCTATGGATTGTTAATAGTCACTTGTTTGGAACTATTCCTCGTGAATTCTCTTCCCTTACACACCTTAAATCTCTCTTGCTTGAAGGGAATAACTTGTTCGGTCCAATACCAGATTCCCTTTCCCTTCTTCCCAATCTAAAAACTGTAATTCTCTTGGATAACAATTTGAACGGTACATTTTCCCCTGCTTTCTTCTCAAACTGCTCCTCATCCTTTCAAAATCTAGACGTTTCTGCAAACTCCTTTTCCGGAGAAATCCCAACAGAGATTGGGAATTGCGTAAACTTATGGAGCCTCAATCTGTACAACAACCGATTCAGTGGAGTACTTCCTCTGTCTTTAATAAATATTTCATCACTTTTGAATTTAGATGTGGAATACAATCATTTTTCAGGTGAATTACCCACAGAGATTATTGGCAGTTTCCCTTCCCTTATTTTTCTTCATCTGTCGTTTAACAAGATGAAAAGCCATAATGGGAACACTGATCTTAGCCCATTCTTTGATGCTGTTCGGAACTGCACTGGCCTAGAGGAGCTCGAGATGGCGGGCATGGGCTTCGGCGGAACATTGCCTGCTTCCATTGGCCAATTCCTTGGTGCCAACTTGACAGTCATGTTATTGCAAGACAACAAAATTTTCGGATCAATTCCTCCAAGTATATCTAATTTTTCAAAGCTTAGGATGTTGAACTTGTCATCCAACCTCATGACTGGAACAATTTCGGATGAAATGCGCGTGTTACCGAGGTTGGAACAACTGTTTCTGTCGCACAACTGCTTCTCTGGTCCAATTCCAAAAGTGTTGGGCAAATTTCCTTCTTTGGGTTTGCTTGATCTTTCACATAACAAATTCTTTGGAGAAATCCCAGAAAGTCTAGGAAATTTGTCTCGGTTGAGTAATATGTTCCTCAACAACAATCAGCTTTCTGGTAAGATTCCTTCCACGTTGGGACGCTGCACGGAGCTGCTGACGATTGATTTGTCCTACAATAGGCTGGCGGGGAAAATCCCTTCTGAAATATCAGGTATGAGTGGAATTAGAATATTTATAAACTTCTCAAATAATCAGCTTGAAGGCCCTTTGCCACTCGAGCTAAGCAAACTAGAAGATGTTCAAGAGATGGACTTTTCATCGAACAACCTCAGCGGATCCATTTTCCCGCAGATATCAAGCTGCATTTCAGTGCGGTTGATAAATTTCTCGAATAACTCTCTAGAAGGGAAACTTCCAGATTCTCTAGTTGATCTAAAAGACCTTGAAAGTTTTGATGTTTCAAGGAATCACTTGTCTGGAATAATTTCATCAAAGCTGAACAATAGTGTCACACTTACATATCTTAACCTCTCATTCAACGACTTTGTGGGAACAATTCCCTCCGGGGGCATCTTCAATTCTGTCACCCAATTGTCATTCTTGGGAAATTCGCGTCTTTGCGGAATAGTTGGTGGCACACCATTACCCTGCTGCAAGCGACCCCTCTGCACTCACAAGAGACATTTATTTCATTCTCGAGTTTTCCTGATCGTCTTTCTCATTATGACGATATTATTAGCCTTGTTCTTGGCAACATGTTGTGCCTTCTGCTTCGGGTGCATTGTTGTGGTTCCATCCAAAAAGGCTCAAGTTGTAACAGAACCAACATCACCCGAATTCATTCACAACATCCCAAGGATCACATATAGAGAGTTGGCAGATGCCACTGAAGGGTTTCATGACAAGACACTAATCGGCTCGGGCAGCTATGGGCACGTATATAAGGGAGTTCTTTCAAACGGAACAACCATTGCTGTAAAGGTGTTACACACGCAATCTAGTAGCTCGATCGATAGTTTTCGCAGAGAATGCGAAGCCCTGAAAATAATTCGACACAGGAATGTGATCAGGATTATAACAGTGTGCAGTTTCCCTGATTTCAAGGCACTTGTTTTTCCTTACATGGCAAATGGGAGTTTGGACAGCCGTCTCTATGAACTTCCGTCGAACCGTTTATCTTCACGTTCTTCTTGTCTGACTCTGGCACAAAGAGTAAACATATGCAGTGATGTAGCGGAAGGAATGGCTTATTTGCATCACCAGGCTCCAATTGTAGTCATACATTGTGATCTAAAGCCAAGCAATGTACTTCTTAATAGTGACATGACGGCTTTGGTTTCTGATTTCGGGATTTCAACATTGCTAACTCCAAAAGGAGCTGCTGAGAACTTAGAAAACTCTACTTCAGACAATATTTTAGTTGGCTCTGTTGGATACATCCCACCAGGTGCTTCACTTCACCTTTTTTTATATATTGGTGGATTTTCACCGTCAATAAAATTATTTTACTTCTGGTCTTTGAATTTAGTGTTAAATAAACGATAGAGCTTAGAAATTTAGCAAAAGATAGTTATCATGTGGTCATCGCGTGATATTTTGGAATTTATACAAAAAAAACTTTACAGGGCTTAAGTGCTCTAACTTTAATGATGTTGCATAGGATTTTGTTGTTTCTAAAAGATTTCCAGTTACACACAATGCATATATGATTACAGATAAAGTATTGTTAATTTTATGATCAGCGATAAAAAAAAATGATTAAGAAATTAAATTCAAAGACTAATCATTTAAAAGACTTAATAATAAACTATCACAATGCTAATAATACTTGAGTAGTAGTGTTAAAATAATTGTAAAGCATTTTAAAGACAAGGGCTGGACTGATTTTCTTCTTATGCAGAATACGGGCTTGGTTCAAAAACGACAACAAAAGGGGATGTATACAGCTTTGGCATTCTTGTGTTAGAGATGGTGACGGGAAAGAGACCAACAAACGACATGTTTGTTGGGGGGCTAACACTACAGCACTGGGTCAGCAAGAGTTATCGCCATGAAAACATTGAAAAAGTGGTAGATGCTGGTATGGCGAGGGCTTCACGAGATCTCTCAAGTAAGAGGAAGAAAATATGGGAAGTTTCAATTGGATCTTTGATTGAGCTGGGCCTTCGTTGCACACAAGATTCTCCCTCATCTAGGCCCACAATGTTAGATGTTGCTGTTGATCTTAATCGGTTGAAGAGAGATCTTTGTCGTGTCACTAAAATAATCTAATCCAAACTAAAGACTTGGTTAAATATCCATTTTCTAGCAACTTTTAAAGGATTATTCGTAATTGAAGTTACGTACGTTATTCTTGTTTTGCACATCGTATAACTACTAAAATACTAATTGATGAAATTTAGACCCTATTCATTTTACCGATTTGCGTTTAAAATTCGAGTTTTGTTACAATAAAAAGCTCTAAAAAACAGTCACATCTAACTTTTTTATTACAGTAAAAAACTCTTACATAAAGTCACATCTCAACTCGAATCAGCAAACTAAACGGACTCTTAATCTGTTAGTTCTTTTCATTTAAATTTAGCGTAAAGATGTTATGCTCTTTAAATACTAACTTAAAAAAGACAGAGTTCTAAGAGAAGGGCGCAAAACTAAAAATAGTAGAGTGAGTTAGGGGATCATATTTTCTCTTGTTTATTTTTTCTTTTTTAATAGGCACGGATTCCATAATTTCAGCTATATCGCGTGAATGAATATCCATTTTAAAGAGTGTTTTTTTTTTTTTTTGGGGGTAGAAAATCTATTTTAAAGAGTTGTTATATCAAATATATCACTTTTAGGAAAAGATTTGACTTTAATCTACAAATACAATTAGCCTAACTCTGTTTCGTGTAATTTTGTTTGGGTCAACAATTTGATATAATGTTTTTTTTTCCCTCTTTCTAAGAGAAAATACTAAACTTACGCTTAAAGGTGCATTGATTTTGATTTTTACCCATTATTCTTAATTACTACCCTTTTAACTAATATCGTTGATCGACTAAAAAGATATTATTAAAAAATAAAATATAAAAATTTAGACTCGTACGTTTTAAAAAAGTATTTATCTACTTTTAGCGTTCACTTTAAATCGTGGCAATGAATGCCTAGACTTAGTTTGGATGAGGTCTTGACCAAAAAGATATTATTAAAAAATAAAAGATAAAAATTTAAACTCATACGCTTTAAAAAAGTATTTATCTACTTTTAGTGTTCACTTTAAATCGTGGCAATGAATGCCTAGACTTAGTTTGGATGAGGTTCCACTTTTAATGATACATGTTTTAAGCTCACTCAACTTTATCTCTAAAGTCAAAATATTGGAGGGTGGACATTGATGAATTCTCCTTAAATTCTCTTCATAACATTGGGCCACTTCCATGATTCATTTCATTCAAAACTATCTACCCCTTGTTCCTTATTTCCGTGGAAATTGAATAAAAAACAAAATACCAAAAGCTGGAACTTACAGTCTCTTTTTTACACTAGATGTTGTTGAACTTTTTCAAGGCTTTTGTTTTTGTCGCTTGCCTATGGAATATTATTGTTACTTTGGCCAAACCCTAAACATAACCCTATAGTCAGAATTGGCTGTTATGCTTTACTTATGGAGCTGCCAAAAACATTACAAAGTCAAAAACTTTTAGCAAAAAAAAAAAAAAAAAATTAATGTATTCCCATTACTCTCTCTTCTTGTAAATTACAGAATTAAATAAACAAAAAAAAAAGAGAAAAGGAGATAAAAAGGAGAAGAAAGAATATATAAAAGGTGGGAAAAGATGTTTATGCTTCAGCTTAGCACTTAAGCATATAGTCTTATCAGATTGCACATAATTAACTAAAAGCCCAGACAAATATATATATATATATATATATATATATCTTAAGCTTTTGGATTTCCTTTTTCTTTTCTCTTTATTCTTTAACTGGGGAAGCGATATATGCAATGAACTAGAAAAGGAACCAAAACATTTTAGCAAAAAAAAAAAAAAAAAAAAAAAAAAAAAACAAAGAGTGGCTTTTACAAAGGCAGGAAGGAACTGTAGTGCAAAACATGCCAAATTAGATAAAGAGGTAATGTCCTTTTAGTTACAGGAATTATACTCTGCAAAAAAATTATATATAAATATATATATATATATGTATATAATCCTTTTCCGTCCAACTGCAGTGAACTGATGAAAACTACTAAACGTAATTCTTAGCAGATTCCAAAACAGGACTATAAGTCCAGGGAAATTTCTGAACCTTGTTTCCTTCACTTTTGGACCACTGTTGAATCACCTTCCAAGATTTTATCCAACTAAGCTTAGATTCTTAGATACACACACACACACACACACACACACACACATATATAATATTTATTCAACAGCTATTTAACGTGAATATATATACAATATTATTGGTCCTGTGATTTTTTCCCTTCTTTTTCATGTACAAGAATGTTGACGAAATTCAGAATTTAATCTCTCCAGAACACTCGCGTCGTGACTCTCACAAATTAATTAAAATATAAATGCAGAAAATAAAAGAAACACAAAAATTTATAGTGCTTCGGCAGAATCTCATTGCTTACGTCCATTTGTGGATACACTAAATCTCGAAGAGTACAAAAGACCTCCCTTTTAACAGAAAATGGTGCGTAAAAATTAAATGAGGAGCTGAACCCTTATTTATAAGTCCTCATGTACATGATATCTCTTGTCTCTAGATTACCTTATGAGACATGCTTCTTTATCGCTCTTTCGAGATAACAATTTTCGTAACTTTATCTCTATATTCAATTATTTGAATTTAAGTACATGACTGCAGACGATAATCCATTTTTGATCTTCTAGTTGAATTTGAATGTGAGATGAGGATTATCTCTTCCTAATTTGGCGGGCTTCATGCTGATCCTTTCTCTTTTTCCAGACTTGTCGACTCATCTACACAAATATCTCGGTGATCCTATTGGGACTTCTCGACCACATTACGCAGTGTGGCATGAGATACTCAACACTGGGTTCGTTTGGTACGATGATTCAAATCAGGGTGATTCTAATCATGATTCTAAAACTATAATCATGATTCATGATTTGGGTTTCAAATCATGATTCTGAAACTATGATTCAGAATCAGAGGTTTGAATCACCTTGAATCAAGAGGAGGGTGGTTTTAGAATCATAAGTGATTCTGATTCAACAGAAACACTGATTCTGAATCATGATTTAGAATCATCCAAACAAAACACTGATCATGATTCAAAATCACTGTAAACAAACTATATATATATATATATAATATTTATTCAACAGCTATTTAACGTGAATATACAATATTATTGGTCCTGTGATTTTTTCCCTTCTTTTTCATGTACAAGAATGTTGACGAAATTCAGAATTTAATCTCTCCAGAACACTTGCGTCGTGACTCTCACAAATTAATTAAAATATAAATGCAGAAAATAAAAGAAACACAAAAATTTATAGTGCTTCGGCAGAATCTCATTGCTTACGTCCATTTGTGGATACACTAAATCTCGAAGAGTACAAAAGACCTCCCTTTTAACAGAAAATGGTGCGTAAAAATTAAATGAGGAGCTGAACCCTTATTTATAAGTCCTCATGTACATGATATCTCTTATCTCTAGATTACCTTATGAGACATGCTTCTTTATCGCTCTTTCGAGATAAAAATTTTCGTAACTTTATCTCTATATTCAATTATTTGAATTTAAGTACATGACTGCAGACGATAATCCATTTTTGATCTTCTAGTTGAATTTGAATGTGAGATGAGGATTATCTCTTCCTAATTTGGCGGGCTTCATGCTGATCCTTTCTCTTTTTCCAGACTTGTCGACTCATCTACACAAATATCTCGGTGATCCTATTGGGACTTCTCGACCACATTACGCAGTGTGGCATGAGATACTCAACACTGGGTTCGTTTGGTACGATGATTCAAATCAGGGTGGTTCTAATCATGATTCTAAAACTATAATCATGATTCATGATTTGGGTTTCAAATAATGATTCTGAAACTATGATTCAGAATCAGAGGTTTGAATCACCTTGAATCAAGAGGAGGGTGGTTTTAGAATCATAAGTGATTCTGGTTTAACAGAAACACTGATTCTGAATCATGATTTATAATCATCCAAACAAAACACTGATCATGATTCAAAATCACTGTAAACAAACACTGATTATGAACTAAGATCTAAAATCATGATTCTGGATATATCTATCAAACGCAACCTTCGTATCTGTACTCCTCGATGGCTAAACCTAATCATAACTTATGTAGTTCTCGACGTCCCACTTGGGAGAAATAGCTATGGCGCAACAAAGAACTTTTTTTTTCCTTACTAATTAATGCTTGTCTACTAATTTAAGAAGTAATTCGTGAAAATTAAAAAGTTCAAAAACCAAAGTATCAGGTACTCATAGTTCAATAACTAACAATATTGATAACTTTATTTTAAAATATGCAGCAGTACTACTGCGGCTGAAAGTATTTAATATAAATACCAAGCTAGAGCATTACTTTATTTGGTAAATAATATAAGTAGTACTTAACTCTATGGAGTTGATCATTTATGAGTAATAATTCGTTTTTAAATTTTAATTTTGAAAGACCTTTATTAGGTTTGTCTTGAAAAGTAAACGCTACATTTTCTAAATTAACTGAAAAGAAGAAAAGAACAGGAACGTATATCCTGTCTAGGTTGTCCTGGTCATGAGGCCGAGTTTAATTAATGTTTTTGTTTTTGTTATCAGGAGTTCAATTAATGTTATCTTGTATGAAATTAAACATAGTATTTTTGTCAGAATGCTTTTGCTACGTAGACCCACAAGATGGTGCAATTGGATAAAATAATAAATCATGTTGTTTTAATAACGTGGAAAACGATGACGGGTAAAAATGATTAGGACACATATTAGTGGAGTCATTTCAGTTTTCCACATGTCATGTTTTCTGATTGAAGCATATCTCAAATCCAAATGGGTTCCCATCATTAACTGTTTCGACACATGAACTAATTATCTTTTCGTTGCTGCATTACATTATCTACTTATAACCTTGTTCTTTGATTTCTCCACAATAGCATGAAAAAAGAAAAAGAAAAAGAAAACGTAAAGCACGAGAATTTGACTATGTCAAATAAAGATCAAAGCTAAATTATTGCTAGAATATATATATATATATATATATTTTACCCAACTATAGATTCTTTTTAATATGAAGAGCTAGAAAATTGTGCAGTGTACTTGCTAAGTGTTTGATTTTTTTTTAAAGCCTGTACTAATACAGTAATACAGGCGAACATGATTTTTGTGTAAGGCCCCTTTTGTGAGGTTTGAACAGGTTTTTAAACGTGATTTTGTGTAAATATGAATACTGTGTATGTATAACGACGTTAAGGAAGAATACAAGCATGCAGAGCCACGACCAAAAAGCTCAGAAAAACTACAAAAACCATCAGTATAGTACTGCCCAAGAGAAAGCAATATATATTTATATATCTATATATATGTATGTATGTATGTGTATATATATATATATATATATAAGAAAAACCAGCCAAGTGTCGCTATGTGAAATCTAACATATCTCCTGTTGGTGGGTAGGACCCACGAGCCACCAGAAGCATGTTCCTTGGTTTGGATATCTTTCATATGTTGTTTCTTTGCATTACACACACAAACACAAAAAAGCAAAGGCCTGTGCGGTGGACAAGCATTATCCCAACAGCAACATTGCACCGATAAGGTTTTCTCTTTTCTTTCTTTCTTTCTTTCTTTTTTTTATGCGCAGATTTATTAAAGTAAAAGACTTGGCATGCATGTCTTGCAGATATATCTGCGAGTGTAAAGCATTATGTATTGTGTCAAAGTACTTTAAAAAGCCTAAAAGGGGTTCCAGAGAATGTGCGGCCATTTTGTGGTCACCACATTATAAGGATTAGGGTCCCTTAGACTGACCTAAAATTAGCATGATTGTAACATGATATTGGTGGCCATAAAGTATATCTGCTATATAAGGACTTGACTTTATTATTAAGAGATATACGATATGTATATGTGATTTTGGATTTTGGGTGGATTTTTTTTTTTTTTTTTTGCTAGTCAGCGATTTTGGGTGGATTTATTTCATTAGTTCTAATGAGTTAGGTTTTTGTTGATTTGTGTATGGACTAATTTATATGTAAACTTAAATTTGCAGGGTTAAAGTTTAGGCAAAGACTATGAGACATTTTTTTTTTTTCATTAAATATGTCACACATTACAAACCATTTATGAAGCGTTGAAGGATGAACAAATCAATTGGACTGTTGAGTTTGTTTTTATTAAGTGAAATCCAACAATAAAAAAGTTTGACTGTCAAGATCTTTTTTTTTTTTTTTTTAACCATCATACAAAACCTTGCAAAGCGTTGTACTGTCCAACAAGATTTAACTGGTCGTACCTTAGGAGGATTCATGTGAATAATTTTAAATTATTTTTGAACAATAATTCTAATATAGGACCAAATTATATTCACTAAGTTCTAAATGTCAAATTAATTGACAATTACTTCCTGAATGGTAACATTATATTGAAACAATTAGGAAAAGTCTCAAGTTTTGTTTGCCTTGAACCAATATTGATTCATTTAAAGGAACTACTAACCCGTTGTTTGTCTCTACTAAAAGGAGTTCGTTGAAATTTATGCTTTTATGAAGATTGATTCCTTTCTCATTGATATCCATTTTTTTTTTATTGAGAACCTTCTTTCTTTAATGCTAAATTAATGCAAATGAGGGCCCTTTCACAGCGTATCATATCAGTACTATATTTCATCTCCCACACCTCTATTTTCTACCAGATCATTAAAGCTAGCAAATTTAGTTCATATCTTATTGGTCAACTTTGAAATATATATATATATATATATACACCCTTAATAAATAAATGACATTTTTTTAGGAACAGTGGGACACTCAACTGTGGAAAACAACTATCAGAATTTAAGTTATATCATTTTCCAATCAGCTTCTGTCGCTGAATTCTCCTTCCATTTCTCACTGAATGTTGGACCAAGACCGGTAATAAAAATTCGTTTATTTTATACGTTTAAATTCATAATTTTAATTATATTACAATATTTTATTCTCATAAAAAATTTAAAATTTAAATATTAAAATAAAAAATTACTGATTCAAACTATTAACTAAATGAATCTTAAATGGTTTTAGATAAAACTCAGTTTATACCTGAAATTAAGGGAATTTTGTTGATTAGCAGAGAGTAATAAATATTTATACAAGAGGACCAACTAACTAGAATAATGAGTAGTGGGAATCTCTTTCATATCCAAGAATACAAAACATGTGAATCTTCCCAAGTCAGAAAAAAAAAAATGGTACAAAAAAATAAAATAAAACCACCGCTTATCAATTAATCTGAGCCAGTGCACGTGCCTAACCCACACATCATGGCCTGTAAGACAAAAACCATGGTTCAGAAAAACTTCCAACCTTACCTCCACAACTGTATTCCATCTTTGCCTCCAAAATAATTTTTTTTTTCTCTTTTTGTTTTTTGTTTTTTTTTTCTTTTTCTTTTTCATAATTCTTTGATTGAGGAGCTTTCTCTTTAGTCAAAAGTAGTCTTGGGACCCTCCCTTCCATCATCTCCTTTTATGTAAATCCTGATTTCCTAATCACTAAAATCACCAGAATTTAGCTACAATCTCTCCTTGGATTATTCCAACTGTAAAGCAAAACCGCATAGGATACTACTGAAAGAAAAGAAGAAGAAAAAAAGGAAAAAAAAAAAAAAGAAAATGTGACAATGAACATTTTCAGATTCCTTTCTCCTTCTCTTCTAACTCTTTGCTTCTTCTAAGTTCTAACACTTTGTGATACCAAAACAACCACCAACAAATCCCAGAACCAAAAAAAAAAAAAAAAAAAAAAATCCCCAATATGCCTTCAAGGCCTTTCCCAGCAAATCCCAGCTCTTTAACTCCAAGACCACCAAGTTTCTTGACCAAAACTAGAGTCTTGTTCTTGGCTCTCACAATCTCAGCTTCTCTAGTTATACTAGCCTCAATTATCTACTTTCTTTACCATCTTTGGCACTCCCTTGTCCACAGGGCTAAAACCATTCCATTTGATTCTAGTGCACCTCTCAAACTCCAGAGATTCTCCTACAAAGAGCTCAAGAATGCCAGTAATGATTTTGATGCTTCCAATGTTATAGGCAAAGGCGGTTCAGGCACTGTCTTTAGAGGCATTCTGAGAAGTGGGAAGTTGATTGCCATTAAGAGGCTTGACGCTTTGTCTTTGCAGACAGAGAGGGAGTTTCAGAATGAGCTGCAGATTCTTGGTGGGCTAAGATCACCTTTTCTGGTGACCCTTTTGGGCTATTGCGTTGAAAAGAATAACAGAATCCTTGTTTATGAGTATATGCCTAATAAGAGCCTTCAGGAATCACTTTTTGGAGATGGGGTTTCAAGTTTGAGTTGGGAAAGAAGGTTTGAGGTCATTTTGGACGTGACTAGAGCGCTTGAGTTCTTGCATTTGGGATGTGATCCACCGGTTATTCATGGAGACATTAAGCCAAGTAATGTTCTTCTAGATTTTGATTACAGAGCAAAGATTTCGGATTTCGGGTTGTCAAGGATTAAGGTGGAGGGAGAGTTTGGTGTTGACATGTTTAGTCAGGACTTGGGGAAGAGTCAAGAGCTTTGGAAAAGCCAAGAGCTTTCTGGGAATTTGACTGCTGAGACTCCAACAGTTAGTACTCCAGTGGAGAGTAGTGCTCATGAGGTAGATTTTGCTCTTGCCTTGCAAGCTTCTTCTTCATCAAAAAATAGTCGATCATGTTATTATAATGCTAAAGCTTTGAACTTGAATTCTGTTAATTATAATGCTAACATAGCAACTGAGAGTGATGTAATTAGGAGTGGTGGTAATAATGCAAAAGGGAAGGAGGTTTCAATTGTGGATTTTGGTGGAGATGGTTGGAATCATAAATTTGTTCCTTATGACGATGAGCCTCCTTGTAGTATTGATCATAGTAAGGAGTTGAATTCCAATAACACTTCTTCTCCTGTTGATGAGGCTTTGGATGCTAAACAATGGGGTAAAGATTGGTGGTGGAGACAAGATGGGAGTGGTGAATTGTGTAGTAAAGATTATGTTATGGAGTGGATAGGGAGTCAGATTTGCCCTTCAACAAACCCTGATTGGGATGAAGGAAAGAAGACCATTCAGGAGAAAGTTGAAGGAGAAGAGCATTCAACCGCCTTAGATGAGTTGGAAGAAGGAAATGAGCCCCATTTACAAGGATTCGGGTTCAAACATTCGGATAAAGTGTTCGAGAAGAAAGAGTCGAGGTGGAGGAGAAACTGCAAGAAGAAGCCGAGAAAGATGCAAGAGTGGTGGAGAGAAGAACACCTAGCAGAGATTAGCAAGAAGAAAGGAAGTAGTAGTAGTAGTAAGCTAAAGAGCCTTGAGACCAAGTGGAAGAAAGGCTTCAAAATTCCACATTTCGATTTGGGCAGGCGGTTTTACTTTCGGAGGCGAAAGAACTTTGCAGAGCAGAGTCAGAACGAGTGTGATGAGAATGGAGAGTTCAGCTTCAGAAGGGGTTGGAAGAAGAACAAGAACAACCACTCTGTTGGCAGTGACATGTGGAGTGGAGACCTATTCAGCCGCGAGCTTAGCAGCACAACAAGCATGAGAGGGACATTGTGTTATGTTGCACCAGAATATGGGGGCTGTGGATACTTAATGGAGAAGGCTGATATCTACAGTTTAGGAGTTCTGATCCTTGTCATTGTGTCCGGTAGAAGGCCATTACATGTTCTTGCCTCGCCAATGAAGCTCGAAAAGGCCAATCTAATAAGCTGGTGTAGGCAATTAGCTCAAGCTGGAAATGTCTTGGAGCTTGTGGATGAGAAATTGAAAGATGAGTACAACAAGGACCAAGCCAGTTTGTGCATCAACTTGGCAATCACTTGCCTGCAGAAAATGCCCGAGTTGCGACCGGATATCGGCGAGATTGTTAGGATTCTGAGAGGGGAAATGGATCTCCCTCCATTGCCTTTTGAGTTCTCTCCATCTCCACCTTCCAAGTTGTACAGCAGGTCAAGAAGAAAACACAAGGTCACTGACTAGGCCTTGTAACATTCTGTACCTCTTTTTTTTCTTTATTTGTTTTTTAATAACTTTCTTTTATGGTTTTCTAATTGGGGTTCTTGGCCGCGTGTAATATAGCGGAGATGATTGAAAAATCCAACAAAAATATGGGAACAAAGCTTGTGTCGCATAATGTGGATTATGTCTTGTGTATTTCAGATAGAGTTCTGCTTATGTTTCAATGCTTTGCTTTGCCACTTCAGGCTCAGTGGCTTATGTTCATCTTCACTGACTTTACTATGTGCCTTGTCATTTTTTTTTTTTAGGATTTTTTGTTTGGTTTCTTTTTTACTTCATGAAATCAAAACTTAGCCCAAAACTCATGCATTGTTTGAAGCAAGATAATCTATTGTAAGATTTGCTTTCAAGTAGTGGTGTGGAATTGACTGAGATGTATTTTGTTTGCTTTTATTTTGTCTTCCACTAACTCGTACTTCCATGTCAACCTGCCATTAATGATTCAAGATCACTTTTAACGGCCCCCAATCGAACAGTTCTTTGCCCAAAGGTCGAGATACTTTCAGAGAAAAAGTTTGAAACTTTCTCTAGTGTTTTTCTTTTCACCCTTAATTTATATGCTAATGCAAAAGCTTGCATTGTTATACGAGAGACTTTCAGAGAAAAAGTTTGAAACTTTCTCGTTTTTTTTAACCCATAATTTATATGCTAATGCAAAAGCTTGCATTGTTATAGGTCTCTTGTTAGTTTTTGAAATGTGTTATTACAGTGAAAAGACTATGAAAAGTTTGTCCGTTTAGTTCATTGATTCGAGTTTTTAATTCGAGTTGAGATGTAACTTTATGTGAGAGCTTTTTATTGTAGCAAAAAAGTTAGATGTGATTGTTTGTGAGAGCTTTTTACTGTAGAAAAACTCGAATCAACGAAATGAACGGGGCCTTAGTAACTTCAATGAAAACTGGGGAGCAAGGGAGATAGCAAGACTTGAGGGTGGGAGGAGCAGATTAATTATGAGAATTTTTTTTTTTTTCCTTTGAATTTTAGATTCTTATATTGTTGAGTGTATGGAGTCTAATTATTGTTATGATATAGAGTTGTCATACAAATCGACCTTAATTAAGAAAAATTAGAGCCTGTGTTCGTATTTATTTTACGTTTTCGGTAATTTAATTAATTTGGTGAATTAATAAAAACGGATCCTTCATTAATGAAGTTATTCGTTGGGTAGAGAAATATGAGTGTCATGATTGCTCATGCAAAATGTAGGTTGATATACTTTTTGTTGACTGGTCAGGAAACACTAAAGTCGTAATCGCCGGCCAATTTAAATCACTACACAAAAGTATATATCATTAAGTCACGAGGGAGGTAGGACTATGATTAATCCCTTCATTATTTCTATAATTTTCTTTTCGCAGAAATGAATCGGAAAAAGAAGAAAAATTCTGTGGGGAAAGGGAAAAGAGTTGGAAAATTTTGAATTTTCTATTTCAATCACTTATACTAATTTCCTTTCAGCTCATGATTAAGAAATGTGTGCATAATATAATAATTGGAAAAGCTAGCAATTTTCTACGAAGTTCCTATGCAACGACACAAAGTCAAACATCACGTTTCAATGTTTTTTTGTAACCTTTATAAAAAAATAAAAAAAAAATCAAGGAGTCCGGAGGAAAGGTCATCAAACCCTGGAACACAGAGAGAGACAGAGAAGAGAAGTGTTTTAAAATATTTTTAAATTTTCAATGAAATTTCTGATCAACAATTCAGAAAATAGTGATAACGACCAGTTTTGACATTTTCTAAAAGAGTACTAAAAATAGATTTGGATAAAACACCGGATATTAAAAATATATTTCGATAAAACACGAGGTACTAAAATGATATTTTCCTTTCCTTTATTACCGAGAGATGAAAGAATATTACTCAAACCAGTACTGCAGTAGTATTGCATCTGAGATGAGTATGTGAGTTTGACCTTTGCTATTAATTTGATAAAATAGAGTATGAAACCGAACACTTGCAAAGACCAACAGAACAATATTATATACATCCAACCTAATATACAGTACTTCGACAGCTTCCTTAGCCAAGTCTCAAGAACCTTATTTACGTACCTAAATAAGAGTATAATGCTTATCAAGGACAGAAAAAAAAAAAACAAAACAAACAAACAAATAAACGAAGAGAAAGAGCAACAATCACACTCGACAGAAAAGGATATATAACGATATGGTTGAGATTAGATGGTTTAATGAGTCTAAGAGCTTTTCTACTTCGATCACTTTACCCCGAGGGATGTTGACGATTTTTTTTTTTTCTTTTTCATTTTCTGTTCTTTTGACCACAATGATTTCCTGGACGTTTCGTTAATGAGGAAACATCATCTTCGACTGTTTGTATATTGATTTTGTTATGGAAATTCCAGTTCCTAGTTCTTATCTTTTATTTTTTTTTAATATCTTTTTCAAGAAGGAATTTCAAATTATTGGCAGAAAGGAATTGAGGTGGTTAGATTGAGTACCTTTTTAGTCTTAAACATTCGAAAAATTAGCTCCAATAACGGGTGAGAAAAGAAAAGGATAACAGATTTTCTACGCAGATGCGAGAACTACGTAGTACCTATCTAGTAACTATTCATTGCCTTTTGATCGTCATACTACAGGAGCCTATCTTATCTGTGTAAGACCCTTTCCAACGCAAATGCTAATGCTAATGCTTTATTGGTCACTAAAAAAAAAAAAGTGAAAACAGCATATTTGATGTACTATTCTATTTTGTGCTATCACTAATTCATTTGCAATTTTTCCTTTTACTTCATCATCTTTGCAGTCTGGTGTGAAACTTTTCACTGCAAGACACCAACAACGCTGAAGCTCCTCACACGTAAACTAGATCAATACAAGAGGAGAGTTGTTTGCGATCACAACTAACAAGAAAACTCAGAGCTTAACGTTGGATGCTTTTTACAAGTACGAGGGCTTTGGCCACTTCTATCATGTTAGGTCTATCATTGACATTTGTTTCAAGACACCTCTCTTTGAGCTTGGTGAACTCCATTTTCTGAGCTCTATTTCCTCCTCGCAAGATATTGGCCTTTAGGTGACGCTCCCAGAGATTTGTTACATAATCTTCCCAAGCCGCCTCCGATTCGTCCACTGACTTTGAGCTGCCTTCTTTAAAAGTACTAACTGCGTCGCAACTTCTTAGATTGAGAGCCCGTTTAGTTCGCTTATTCGAGTTGAGATGTGACTTTATGTGAGAGTTTTTTATTGTAATAAAAAAGTTAGATGTAATTGTTTCTGAGAACTTTTTACTGCAGCAAAATTTAAATTCTAAACTCGAATCGGTAAAATAAACGGGACCTAAATCTCTTCCTGGTTAATAATTCACACATAGAATTCCAAAGTTATATACGTCATTCCTTTCTGTATAAGGTCCCTGTAGTGCACCTTCTTTAGCCATAAACCATGAAGTCGCGCATAAACCATGTCTCAAATTGGTTTGGGAAAGTTAATAGTTTGTGTTTTTTGAGTAAGTTACCGTTTTCTGCTTTTTGGGCAAGGGTCATTAAAAATTTATAAATAAGTGTTTGTGTAAAGTTTTATGTGTGTTCGAGAAAATACAGAAAAAGTGCCTATTTTTGAGAGAAACAGAGAAAAGTGAGGAGAAAGATAGGCAAAAAGTATAAGAGGTTTGGTTAAAGAGAGAAAATGAGAAAGTTTGTTAAGTGTAATTCTAAAATTGTTAGTGATTTTTTCTCCATCTTCTAATGACGTAGAAAATTTTACGAATCACCTAAATTTTTGTCTTCTCTACTTTTTTATTATTTTTGTGTCAATTTATTTTTTTTAGAGGTGTATTTTTTCTCAACAATTTGTTCCAACACGGTAGCTCCGTTCTTCAAGAACAAATTCTTCCTCCTCGTCATGTCTTTGTTGTTTCTGAAGCCCCGCAACATAATGGAAGATTGATTTTCAGGGCAGGGAAGGTAGTAATCTCTAACTTGGGTTGAAGGACAATTCTAATTCATCTATTTTGAGTGGAGTTTATGAAGAATGATGGAATAAACCGTGCATTTTATTCTTCAAGAAGTTTGCTTGGAGTTTCCCCAACGAGATCAACATGTTAAAACGTTGTTGACTGAATTGCAAGGTTATTTCTTAGATAGTTCCTCCACGCGAACATAAATTATGACAACTATATTTGGCAGCAAAAGTCATTATATAGGACCATTTTAGTCGAGGGATGTTGACGAATTTCTTTTCTTTTTCTTTTTTTTCATTTTTCTGTTCTTTTGACCTCATTACTTTCCTGGACGTTTGGTTAATGAGGAGACATCATCTTCGACTATTTGTATATCTTATTTGTGTTAGTCCATCTCCAACACAAATATTAATACTAATGTTATATTGGTCACAAGGAAAAAAAAAGTGAACATAATGTTCACGCAGTTAGTGTTGTTGTAGATGCGGATGTAGAGCATTTAGTAGACTCGCATAATTTTAATTCTTTTTTCCATACTTGAATTAGCTCCCGTTTAGAGTGTGATATTTAGATATATCAACTACTAGAAACTTTAGTCTGAAGGAGAGCTCGGTAAACACTCATATGAGGGAGAGATTATTAAAAAAAATACATGTCTGTATTATCCCACATAAAAAGTAGAGAGGGATATGAAGTGATTTATACACATAAATGAATCATAAATCCAATAAGTTAACTTTTTGAGTTGAATCTCCATTCTCTTATGGTGGAGCCATAATCCTAACAGCAACTACTCAAACATGTTACGCCCTTAACTGGAAGCTTCTTTCCAAGTTCCTCAACGCGGTGTCTGAGATTTCAAGGAACCACGCATATTTCTCTCACGGTCCTACTCACTATGGACGTATGGTCCTACTTACTTTTATTTCTTCATTTATTTATGTAGTTAGACAAGACAATAGACAAGGCAACGAGTAGGTTGGTTTGGTGTCGAGTTGTCTTTAGTCCCTGAATAATCCTTGAATCAATTTTTATTTTTTTTTATTTTTGATAAGTATAGTCTCTAAACTGTTAGTGTGATATTTTAGTTTCAGGTTTTTCTTTAATCACTGTAACAAAAGAGGTTTGAAGAATAGTTCGAACTTATAAAACAAACGCATGGTAGTAAATTCGTCCAAGACTTTATTTTTCTTTCAACAAATGTGATCCATGGTTCCACAATTGACTATGGACTTTTGAAAATTTTAAAGTAGATAAGTGCATGTCCACCTCATGATGTCACAAGAAGTGCAAAATGTCTAATGTTAAAGAGTTCTTAATGCATAATATAACAAATATTTTGCACTTCATGTGATTATCTATGTAAATTTCAAGTTACTATATCATGGGTATTCAATTATTTCCCTTAAATTTCACGAGACCATCGTTAAAATTAGAGCTAAAGACCAACCCGTCAACGAAAAATAAATTTAGAGCTAGCAAATTAGAGACTAAAAATTGTCACCATGGTAATAGTTTAGGAATTAGGAACTAGCAATACCATAAATCTTTCTTCCCACTACACATCTTTTCTATGTTTAATTAGGGTTTGTTCTCTACTTTGGTTCCTAAAACTTTGTTAGACATGTTCATATATGGAAACAACTTTTTATATTCTTGCTATTTTTTTTCTTTTCCCAATCGGAAGTGTGGATATTTATAACTAAACACTTATATAACGCAATTCCATAGCTTATATTAAACAGAGCTTGACCAGCACAGCAAAGACATGTCACCCAAGTTAAAATGGGGTATCAACAGTACAGTAAAATACCCTTTAATGAAATCAAATTTACTAAAATTAGAATGTTTTTTCCACGTATATCAAAAATGAGATACTCCCACTATGTAACACATGACAAACATTGCCATGTTTAGTTTTGTTATTTTCTTTTTCTACCCCAAAATGACAGAGATTTAAACGAGCAATGCAGCCAAGATAATGGGAAATCTTCCCAGAGAAAAAAAGGTTCACTTAAAAAGGATCACAGCCTCAAAGAGCTCAGTACATATCAATGAAAGACTCCAAAAGAACAAACTGAATAAAATGCATTAATAATTGAGAGAATAAATTATACACTTTCCTGATCTACTGCAGCTTCAACACATGATCATCAACGTTAAATTCCCGTCGATCCAAACAAGATCAATGCCAAAGACACCGCCAAGGCCTGAAATCCAGGTCGTGGAACTGCTGCAGCGGTGGAATTTTGCGAGGAAAGCTCATGGGCTGTGGCGGCCGCGGGAGGTGATGGCAGAGGATGGACTTGGACAGTGACCTTCATCCCATTGAAGCACTGGCCATTTCCACAGATGAAGTAGTACCTCTTGGCCTTGTTGAGAGGTATGAAATCTTTGCCACTGCTCCAATTCCCCACAGCACCCTCAGTTGTGCAGTTGTCATACCCAGTTTGGTTCACCTCAAACACATTGTACTGATTCTTTTGGTACCTAAATGCTGTGGCAAATAATGCATTTTAAAATTTTAGAGGACAAAACATAAAGATCCAACAAAATCTTGGAAAAACAAACCCACTAAGCTAAAGTTTAATACTCATTTAGTTCATGGGTTCAAACCAGTGATTTGATTCTGCATTTAAATTTTGTGAGAGAATCCATTCACCGAAACTTTTTAAATTCAGTTTTTTTTAGAGAAAATAATGTAGCAGAATCAAAATCACGTGTTTGAACTCATGAACCAATCTGTCCTTAAGAAAGTGAACTTGACTCTGTCAAACCAAACCACAACTAGAAACTTGAGATTGACCTAATTACAGAATGAAATGAAGTATGTTTGCTCAAGTTCTTTCCTTTTTGCTATTGATAATCTAAAAAGAGAGAACTTTGGCCAAACAAAGGTTTAAGAAAGAAAATTTAATTGTCCAAGGACATTGCCAGCTCTAAACGTAGAAATCTATTCAAGAGGAGCATATATCGGCTATAAAAATCCTTACAGCTGAGACATTTTTTGCTCAAGTTTTTCTTTTCTTTTTTTTTTGTCCTTTTCTGTTACCGTTAAGCCGAAAAAAAAAAGAACTTTATGCCAAAAAAAAGGCATGAACAGCAACGGAAACTAGAAAGGAATGTGTGCTTAAGATTTTCTACACAAACCCTTGAACCTGCAACAGATCCAACACACACACACAAATATATATATATATATATAGAAAGAGAGAGAGAGCGAGAGAGAGAGAGAGAGAGAGAGAGAGCTTACAGATAAGGTCACCAACATAGAAAGTGTGATTGTTGGCCCAGAGGGTGTAGTTGATACTGGGATTCCAACCCTTATTGGCTCCAACAATGTGATCGGTAGCAAAAACAGGAGTGAGGGTTGCAACGGCGGAGATGAGAACAATGGAGAAGACGAGGGACGTTGAGCTAGACATTTTCCCTTTGTCTGGTTGCTTCTCTCTCTCTCTTTATTTTCTTGGGAAAAAGAATCCTGATAAGTAGGAGTAAGAGCTGGAATCCACTTTGACTAGCCTTGACTGTAGATACACTCAAATGGGGCTAAAAAGAAAAAAAAAATTTCATAATTACCTTTGAAACATGTAGACTCGTTCATAAATTTGAGTTTTTAATTTAAATTGAGATATGATATTTTTTAAAAAAATTTTACTATAACAGAAAAAATTAAATATAACATTTTCTAAAAATTTTTTACTATAAAAATCTAAAATTAAAAATTTAAATTGATAAAATAAATGAGATCATATTTTAATTTAAAGCGTCTCATGATATTTTAAAATAATTCAAAACGCCCTTTAATTTATAGAAAATATATCAAAGCATAAAGCTCTTTAATTTATAGAAAATGTATCAAAGCATCAAAGCATCTATTCAGTGTACTTCCGTCTATAAATGTAATGGAATCGCTAACGTGGCTACAATTAATGATGAATTAGTATCTATTCATTTCACATATTTAAGTACTTGTTCTTTTGATATTTTTGAGTTAGGTAATTTAAGTGTAAATTTTGAGTTAAATTTGAGTTATAACTTGAGTTAAAGTTATAACTTGAATTTGTGTTTGGTTGTGTACATTTGAGTTATGGTTTGAGATAAGAATCTTTTTTGAGTTTGTGTTTGAGTAAGTCAAAACTTGAATTTATTTTTAGATAGTATTTTAATAAAAACTCAATGCTAATAAAAAATTTTAATAGGGCATATGGGTCTAGTTTTATTCGTCTTTTCGTTGTCAACGCATAGAAAAAAAATCATCTCAATCAGAATTAAAACGAAAAAGTTATAGCATTTTTAAGAATATAAAAAATACTGTTCATTAACTTGAGTTCGAGTTTCTGAACTCGAGTTGAAGAGAAAACTTAAACTCGAGTTTTAGTTCCAAACTCGAGTTCAAACTCGAGTTCAAACTCAAGTTCAAACTTAAAAGAACATGAACTCGAATAAAGTTATAACTCGAGTTACCTTTTTTGAATTTTTAACTCAAAAATTACCTTGCCGAACAAGGCCTAAATTTTCAGTTTTAGATTTTTACAGTAAAAAACTCTTAAAAAATGTCACATCAGACTTTTTTTACTACAATAAAAACTCTCACAAATATCACATCTCAACTCAAATTGAAAACTCGAATTCGCGAAATGAATGAAACTTAGATCTCATTTATTTTTTCATTTCGCAAGTTTTGAATTCAAGTTTTATTACAGTCACATTTAATTTATTTACTATAATAAAAAAATTCACATAAAATCACATTTTAACTCAAATTAACGAACTAAATAAACCTTAATTTTATCAAAAAAATTAAGTATAAAAAAAAGAAATGAAAAATCCCTCAAAAGATAAAAAGGGATTAGCTATAAAAAATAATAATAATAAAATTCAAGATCTAAGGATTAACAACTGAAACTTTTCTTCTTTTTTATTTTTTATTTTAAAGAGTGGGTTTGAACTCCAAGAGATTCAGAGCTAAACCAAAAAAACACCTCACAATTACGATGCCTTCTTCTCCACCACCTTTTAAATCTCTAAGCCCTAACATTACGGAGTGCAGATCATCCCCAATCTCCAGCATATTCAAAATCCTAAGCCTTCAAAACCCTAACATAACAATCCCCAGATCTTCAAACCCCGGAGCTGTATCGAAGCACCCTGTCCAGCCCAACCAAAACGACGGCATAACAGAGTGTTTCTTCGCCGAAACTCCTTGACCCAAGAACGATGATGGCGATTTCTCAGTTGCCTCCGCCGCAACCGCCGTCTCTGCCGTCGCATTTCGACTCGCAAGCCACATGATTTCCGGTTCAAATCTCACCCAAGCCGAGCCCGCAAACATCCCCGACGAGATCCTCACCATCTTAATCTCGAGTAAGACGACCAGCGATGAGAATGGGGTTGGGTAGGCGTGTAGGTTGGGGGAGACCCAAAATCTGAAAAATCCCATTGGAGATTAAAATCTGAAAAATGCTTATGTGTACAAAAACCTGTTGGTGATTAACTGATTGAAAAGGAAGAGATTCATATTGAGTGAAGCATTAACCATCATGGAAGAAAATTGAATAGTTGATCTGGCTTTTGGTGAAGTTCTCTTTTCCTGTGACTTTCGTTCTTCTTCGCTGGATTGATATTATTTTTATCTTCTTTATTATTTTTTCTTTTCTTTATTACTTGTTAATACTTAATCATTTTAATAGAGCTAATTAAAATTTAATATCTTCAATTAATGTTTAATGACTTACGTAATATCTTCAATTAATGTTTAATGACATGCCACGTTAGTAATTCTGTTAGATTTAGAACTCGTTTAGTTCGTTGATTCGAGTTTTTAATTCGAGTTGAGATATGACTTTATATGAGAATTTTTAACTGTAACAAAAAAATTAGATATAATTATTTATGAGAATTTTTTACTGTAATAAAACTCAAATTTTAAACTCAAATAAGTAAAATGAATGAAATTTTATTAACTAAAGTACACAAAAAGAGTGTTTTGATATGTTTTCTATAAATTAAAAGGTATTTTGAATCGTTTTAAAAAATTTTAAAACATTTTATTTTGAATTGGATTACATAGTTCAAAAAGCAATTATGAAAAAAGTCTAAAAAAAAAGCTAGTAGGTAATAATACACCAAACATGTAGGTCAAAAAATGTAGAAAGAGTGATCCATTGGGTTTGTAGTACATTACAGTTCAGTTTAGTCTTGTAACGTCTCATTTGAATTGAAGCGTGACATTAGCCACATAGGACTATACTTTATGGTCCGCTTTTGTAATGTTTATATGTACTTGATACTTGAATTCAAAGCATGAAATCCGGATTTCCAGCCAAAAAAAAAAAAAAAACGGCGTGTAATTGGAGATGAAAGAGTCAAGTCTTGTAATAGTACTACATTTGAATTGGAATATAAATAGATGGAAGTAAATCTAGTGGGCCAATGTTTATCTCAAATAAGGATTAGAGGTTAGCTAATGGAAGTTTTTAGTGTACAACTAGCAAATTTTCTTCACTCCTTTTGGATTTGGGGTCCCACTCCCACTTATGATTCAAGATAAGATAATCGTGATAAATATCTTTTAAAAGTACATGAGTTAAAATTTTTATCTTTACTCTTTATTCATAACTTTTTTAATCAAATAATTATATTAACATAAGAGTATTTATCAAGAATAAAAAATAAAAATCTAAACTCACGCTGCTTGGGCCATTTATTCATATTGAAGGTTCAATTTCTGAAAAAGTGAGTTTTTGCCATTTGTAGGATAGAGTTGTTCCTTTGTTGAAGCTAATCAATTCTATAATAGATTTCTGCTCAACAGCTTTTGCATTTCCACTAAAAAAATTTCAAGTTGAACTGTACAAGAAATGTCTTCCTCCTTGTTGAAATGCTGTTGAGTTCCCAACTCATCTACTTTTCCTATGCTTCACTTTTTTTCTTCCCTTTAATGGTCTAAACCGTTCTCTTTTGTCCTTACTGTGGAAACTGGTTCCTTCACCAGCTTCTTAACCTTTGGATCTTCGATAAATCCATCTGATCTCATAGCAGCCAAAAACTCCCTAGCCTTAGTGAACAACCCACATGTCGCCAGCCCTTGTAGCATTATTGTGTAATGTGCAGAATCTGGCACAACATCGTAACGCTTCATCTCTTCCCAAATCTTTAATGCATTCTCTGCTTGCTCCACTTTGAAGAACTTTTCAAGAACCATACCAAAAGTCTCCCTACTAGGACCTAATTTAGCTTTCTTCATCCGACTAAGAACTTCGAGGGTTTCCTCAAACTCTACAATCTCAAGAAACGCATGGTAGGTCTCTGTGGTTGGACCGATATTCTCCCCTAACATAGTGACCAGCATATTTCTCGCCTCATCGAGCTTTCTTGCTTTGCATAAAGGACTTATCATCGAGTTATAGGTAGTGGCATCCGGCTGCAAACCCGACTCTCTCAGTTTTTGCAGGATTTTGAGAGCTTCCTTGAAGCAATTCTCACGAGTAAGTACAAAAATTAAAGAATTGTAAACTTTGATACTGGGGAGCCAACCCCTTTTCTTCATTTCATCATAGAGTCTAAGCGAGTCGAATAGATTCCCATCTTTCGATAAGCAGTGTATCATGTGGGTGTAAGAAGTCGCATTGGGCTCTATACAGCACTTGGACATTTCTCTCCAAACTCGCTTGGCTTCAGAAAGATCGACAGAAATGTTACACCACCCGTTGAGAATAATGTTAAAACCCTCAGTTTCCAGTGGGAAGAGCTTCTTGTTAACAAGCATAAACTCTTCGGCCTTTTCGATGTAGCCATGTTTACAAAGAGCATTCAGGGCAATGCAGAACGCTTCTTGATCAGGGGTCAAACTGAATTTCTCCATAAAGTGGAATGCCCATATGGCCTTGTCTGGATCGTTTGCACATGCATACCTAATTAACAGAAAAAGAAGGAAAAGAATATGACTTGTACATACATATCTAAGAAACAAGGATAAAAATTTATGAGAAAACGGTACATTTTCCTGATGCTTTATACATACAAATTCTACTAAGATTAGATAAACAAGCATATGGCATTTAAGATTTTTCCCATTTTCCACACACCTAAGAAACAAGAATAAAATCCATCTACATACAAATCATTGCAACGCTAACAAACAAGCATTCAAAAAGTCGAAGATTTTTTTTTTCTTTTTTCTTTTTTTCCTGATAATTAACCCATCTAAGAAACAAGGACAAAAGTAATGAAAAAATTTCAAGATTTTCCTGATAATTAAATATCCAAGATCAAACAAAATAAGCCAATGGATATTAGATTGAAGGGTATGTATCTAAAATAACATAAACGAAACATGAAGGAAAAAAAAAAGGATCTTTACTTCCAAGTAGCAAGCACCGAAACTAAATGAAAATCTCTAATTACCTATCAATCATAACAAGCATTGCTCGCCGAGTATCCATTGATGATCGATGAAGGTCTCGAATCAAACACCAAGCAGTGTTGAACTTTCGGTGACTACCCAAAACCCACACCATCAAAATCCAAGCTTCTTCATCGCAGCAATCCCATTTCTCCCCCCATTTGAAAGCCAAAAACGCCACTCTCCAGTCCTCCCTCAGCACCCAAATCGCCGAACGGACCAGTTCCGGACTCACCTCGACGCACGACTCTTCGAGAGAGGACATGGCCTCCGCTTCTGTCGGAAAGTGGGCGACCTTTTCGAGAGACTTGACGACGTGGAGAAGACCCGGGTGGTCTTGGAGGTCATGGGTCTGGAAAGTTCCCGCGTTGAAGTCGAGTGGGTCGGGGTTGGTTTTGGGGGGTTGGTGTTGGAGTGTGGAGAAATGGAGTTGTGGAGGAGAGCTTCGAAAGGGTATGAAATGTGTTCGATGAAATGCTTGAGAGATATGGTGATGGGATTGTTGTGAGAGAGTTGAAGAAGAGGTTGAGTGCAGATGATGGAGAATGAATGGGGATAAGAGTTGGTGAAGATGTGTTCTTTGTAACCTCTTCGCAAGAGTGGGAAATGCCATCACTTAACGAGATGGAACATAGTTCGATTATCGTCTTCCCTGATAAAAGTTCGAGTTGGTGAACATTGTTCGATTTTTTATTTCTTCGCCTTTGAGCTATTTGATTTTGGGGATATTTATATTTTTATACTATATATTTTAGATTCTTTCAAAATTTATACTTTAGATTTTTTATCTCATTAAATATATAACTTTAAATTAAATTTAATATATAAATCTATTTCTAATGTTATAAGAGTTAAAAATTAATAACACAAAAAAAAATTCATTTGAATGGCATTTTACATATTTTAGAAGTCAAAATTGTGAGTTTAAAGTTTTTTTAGGTTTTTTCTTCTATGTTTTTATTTAAGGTTCTTTTAGGTATTTTTAAGATTAAAATTGAAGATTGACTGTGGAAATGTATAAATGTAATTATTAAATCTAATTTGAGCGTATAAATTTGATGAGATTAAAAATTAAAAATATAATCTTTAAATAAATCTAAAACACAAAGTATAAAAATATAAATATTTCTTGATGTTATTTTATTTTATTTTATTTTCTTTCTAAAACACGGCTTTCATTCTTTTGTGAAACGCAAGTCACGCTCATTACACTCATTTTTTTCTCTCCATTTAATGAAAAAACACATTAAATTAAAAAAAACATAAAATAAATAATTTTTTTTTATAAATTTAACGATTAAAAAATAAAAATTTACCAGTAATTTATTTTATGTTTTTTTTTTAATTTTTTAACTATTCTCATTTTGAGCGGTTATATTTAATTGTTTTCCATTTTCTTTTCTCTTCGAAGAAAGTCACTCGTCAATCCGTTGACAAAATGCTTTTTACTACCCACCGAAAAACCAAGAAAAAACAAAATGTTTCTTCACAAACGATGACAAGTATTAAGAGACAAAATGTGAGTTTTTAAAATTTAGGGGATAAATTAAAAATGGTCTTAAAGTTTATATTAATGATAATCATCTAAACGAATACTAACCGAAAAGACCAAAAAGAAGAAAAAGAAAATATTTTCTTCACAAAACGACGAAAAATCTAAAAGCTTATTGCCCGTCGTTTATCCGAACAAACGACAACAACTCTTAGACGACAAAATCATGTGCCGATGTGTGCAAGTTTCAAACGGAGACCAACAGGCCGTTGTCAAACTAACGACATCCACACTTGAAATAAACGACATGCCATTTTTCACTCGACAGATATCAAACAATGTCAGTTACACAAACGACATGTCGACTGTCGAGTTCACGTCGACGACAAGAATCGCATCGTTGGTCCTCAAGCCATCAATCGACATGTCGTTTACAGAAGAGCAATTGCGTTCCCAAACAACCAAATTGGTACATATATCATATCAGTACGTGGTACTCGAAAACAAATTTCTGTCAAAAACGTGGAAGGATCGATTGAGAACAGAGAAAGCACCGGAGCGTGAGTCGGGGAAGGCGAAGAAAATGAGCAGCGGCGGGCCTAAAATCGGCAGCGGCGGCGGCGGCGGCGGCGGTGGGAGTGGCGGCGGAGGGGGTTTTAGGGCGAGAATTGATCACTACTTGTACAGCGGAGAGAAGAAGCACGTCGCCGCTGGAATCGCCATTATCACCATCGTTTTCGGCATTCCTTGGGTCCTCATGAACCGAGGTTCGTCTCTCTTCCTTCCCTTGCTTCTCTACCTCCATTTAACTAGGGATTGTATTTCTCACTTGGGAGTGGGCCCAAACAAGATTTGAGATTTCTGCTTTCTTTTTCTTTTTTCTTTCTTTTTTTCTTTTTTTTTTTCCCTATAGCATCTGAGGAACATATTTGCAAATTTTATGTTGGAAAGGAGGGAATTTTGATTTTTTTTTTTTGGGTTTCTGTCTTTCTTGGACTGGTGCTGCGTGATCTTCCACTTCCATTGGGTATGTAGATTCAATAAATCAGGAATTTTGATTATAAATGGCTGGCAAGGAGTGGTTTCTCCATTACTAGTGAAAGCAAAGTAGTAAGAAAATGTTCATGAACACATTTGACTTTACAGCTCTATTATAAAGGAAAGCTTTTTTTTTTTTCTTTTTTCTTATATGTGGTTTGTGCCTATTTCCAATATTGTTGTTTCTATGAAATGGCTACACCGTTATTGAATGACATTGACTGTTTAATATCTTTGATTATGAACTCACTCAAAGGGCACCGTTATTGTTGTCTATATGCAATGGATTCCCTTTCTTTCTTTCTATCACTTGAATTGTTTGGTCAAATTTGTTTTCTTGCCAGGGACTGAACTATCTGAAGTAGTTTCGCATGCCCATCATCTTTTTCTGGTTATTTTCTTCAAGTTATTCTGAGAATTTCATCCTTTGATATGATTTATGGACTAAATTTACGGTACATGTTCTAGTGAGTCATTATTGAAGAACAGAGCAATATAAATGCTGCTTTTTTTATTGCTTGGTTGTTTTTTTTTTTCTATTCCGTCAATCGGTACTGCTCTCTGAATCCATATGTAGACGCCTCAAAGTACGAAATTGAACAACATGATACACTTGAATCTAATTGCATATAAGCCAAAAGAGGTACAAGAAGATCTTACCGCAGGCCTACTATGGCAGAACTATGGATATTTAGTTTCCTGATTTGTATTTACTTGCATTCGAGATGCAGGACAATTGTAGAAAACTGAGTTGTTTCTTTAGTTTTTCTTTTAATGCTGAACGGGATGTGTAGTTAATCTGGTTGGTTAATCATATTTTCTGACTTTTTTCGAACAAATGTATCAGTTATTTGATTAGACTTGTTCAAGTGGGTCATTATATCTTAATCTATATGCATCTTATACATCCTATCTAATACGATTGAGTTCTCTTGCAGGGTCTAAGCACCAGTCTCATCAAGATTATTTAGAGAAAGCTGATAAAGCCCGGAGTCAAAGACTTTCTTCTGGTTCATCATCTGCTAAATAAATTTTGAAAGCTTTCTGTTACGGGAGGGGGGATTCTTTCTCCTGTGAAAATTTTGATGTTGGATTGTTAATGGCTTTTGTTGTTCAATACTCTTTATTTCCAACGTCTTTTGCATCGGAGCGGCATCCGATGAGTTTCAAGGAATACAGTGTATTTGAGGACCGTACTTCTGTTTCTCGACGTGTTCGGCTGCAGTACCAAGTGTTTACTGATAAATAAGTGGAAATTTCTTGCTGTTGATTAGGAAATGAAGTGCCTTAACTCTTGGAAAGATCTATTGGTATTTCGTTTATCAACATTGTGAGCCACATTTCGTTGAGGGAATACTTTGTCACCATTAGATTATCTGAACTGGTCGTTTGGACACATATTGGTCGTGTTTAGAATTGATCCCGTTTTTATTTTTCACATTTTTTAAGAAAGAAAAAATGAAAACGTTTCTAAAACGGCATTTGGCGCAACAAAACAAAAAAAAACGGAAATGAAAACGATTTTTGATTTAGTGTAAAATGAGAGAGAAATGAAAAACGACATTTAGTCATTTTTTATTTTTTATTTTTGTTTTCTCCTCTCTCGAGCAGAGAGAAAGAGAGACATTAATGAGTTTTTTACGCTAAAAATAATCTCTTAATAAAATTATTAAACACATTTTTAAAAATGATTTCTGTCTAAGATTGAGAACGTTTTCAGTTTCATTTTTATACAAAAAATAAAATTATTTTAAAACGAATTTCAAATGCGCTCATTGTTATTTTGTCATGTTTGTGGTGAAAGTTTTTCTCTAACGAAGTCATGCGATGGGTTGTGAGACGAAGAAATTGACTGCTGAAATTTAATGAAATTAGTAACTTGGTAGATTTTATGCCGGCTACATGGATGTCCCGTAAATAGGGACAAAACAATTGCTTGATAAAACAAATTTTGATTATGAAGCATATCCATATGGCCCGTTTTCACTTGAATTATGTGAAATCTGAAGCTAGCCGTTGCGCAGAATCTGTCAAGGCGTACAGATATCTCTTGTTAAAACCGAATAGTCTTGGAAACCTTGTATAATGGATTGGCAACACTGGCAATTCGCAGAAAACTATGTTGAAAGAATTGCTTCCAGAGCACCAACTATGTTTCTTTTGTGCATTAAATCTTGAAAGAGAAACGTGTAACGATCTTCTTTCTTCTTCATTATTATATTTCTTTTGAATTGAATAATATAATGCAGTGTCGTCAAAGACACCTACAATGGCATCAGTCTTCGGTACTTGAAGAACCACACAAACGCACAAAATATGATGAAACCAACTGCTCCAGTAATCATAAGAACCCATTTGAATGCACCAGGATCCTCAAACATTTGAATCTCGAAGTTCATGCCAAAGATCCCTGCAACCACCCCAAAGATCGCCACCACAAATGTTGCTGTTGTGAGTAGGAGCTCGAATTGAATAAGCTGGTTTCGCACGTTATCCTGCCAACAAAAGCTCCTAGTGTTAGATATTCCCTTTATCTATAATGAACGGAATATCTAAATGAAAAAATAATAACAATAATGATAAAGAAAATTTTTGGATATTTTAGCCAGGCTAAAAGATGTCTAGTTCCAATCTAGAGCGTGATCCTTTCTGTGATTATGGTAACAGTAGAAAACATTCTCTGTTCCTTTGCCCCCTTCCCCCAATTACTTCTCTGCTCCTTAATGGAAGACTAACTATCCAGCTTCGAATTGCAAGACAACTATAACACAAGTACATTTATACACCGATAAGAGAAGAGTGTATACCAGCTGAATGTTGATGAAATCTTCAGTATCATCAATGTATTCTTTAAGCTGCGACATGAGAAATTAAAAAGAAGATTGATTAAAGACTGTATTAGCCGATTCAATCAAAGATGAGAATGTAAGAATTATAAATAACATGCGAAGCATACCGATGTCAACTTATTAAGAGTGCTGTCAATGACAACAAAGTATGCCTCGAGCAACATCTCAAGCTCGTCTATACTTTCTGTATTGCTTTCTGTGCTCCTCATACTCCCATGTCGACTCCTTGCAATACTCAAGCTCTTTTCAAGCTTTCGGAAATCAGGGGGTGAGGAGACTGGAGATACAGGAGCCGAGACAGACGCAGCATCTATAGATTTGAATCCCATCAAAGACTGCTCACCATAAAATGATGATTCCATCCTTCTTTTCTTCTCAGTGAGATACATCTCCGCCATATCCCCATCATCGTCCATTAGTTGCTCTATCTCATCCCTAACCTAAACACACGCATTAAAGAGAGGGAAATAGATTAGAAACTGGTGTTGGGCATCTTTTAATGCTCTTGTGCGCTAAGAAAAAATATGATATGCAGTTATATGATACCTTTTGAACTCTCCGAGTCAATGCGACAAGTCTGCTTTTCAACCGACGAGCACGTTCCAAGTTTAATGTACTGATCTTTGATGTAAGCTCATCCAACAAAGGGTATGCCTCTATTTCTAATTCCGCTGCCTTTAGGGAACAAATAGAAACGGAAAAAAAAAAAGAAAACATTAATTGACTTCTGATTAGCCAAAGGGTGCAACCGCGGGCTAGGGGGAAAAGGACTGAAAAATATTAAGTCTTTCCCTCAGCAAAGCAAATTTAACATCTTTTATTATCGAAAAAAAAGGGAAAATTTTCATATTATCACAAACGAAATATTCTTGATCTCGGAGAGACTCTCATTTGGTATTTTATGCGCCTTTATGAAAACTTTAGAAGTGCACTCTGACCTTAACGACTTCAATGTACATCTGGACTTCTGCTTTTTCAATAAGCCTAAAAGTCTAATGCTCCTCAAATTCATAAAATAAATGAAGTACAAAGGGAGAAAACGATAAAACTAAGATTTAGATTTGCTCCACTCACCTGAGAATCAAGAAACGTACAAGCAGCCTCTAGAGCAACTTCTAAGGCCCTAAACTCAAAGGGCAAATAATCAGGAGACATGCTCCCATAAACATTGTCAAAATTTCTACTTCCCCTTCTCCGACTCAAATCAGCATTATCTGATTGCCAGACCTCACCTACTGCAGTTGTCGTCAACCGCCGTTGTAGCTCCACCACGTACTGTAATACATAGCTATCTAGGGAATTCAGAATTAAAACCTCGTCCGCTGTAATGATACACCGAATCTGCTCCAGATTTACAACAATAGCCTTCTCTCTTCCAAGAATGGTCGAAGGGTACACAAACAGAGGATCAAGCAGGCGTAGATCACGGGCAGGTAAGTCGCACCGTCGCATCATGGTGAACTTATCAACCTCAATGATCTGCGAATTCCCGGATGCATCAACCCGAATCCAAGACCTAATACCTTGGCCACGCTTCTTCAGCCCGAGCACATCCACGCCTTGAAACGGTTGCCTCCCCGATGCCGATGGCCGATAGGATGCTTCCCTCAGGTTTATAGCCGATGCAGGCTTTGGCGGGAGCAAGCGCTCTTTAAGGTCCGCCATAGTTCAATTACCGGTGAATGCTGCGCCATGTAAAACACACGATGACATAACGTACTGATTTTCTTAACTGAAACAACTCATATCATAACTACATCAACTTGCTCTTAAATTCTCAGAAAGCAAACAAATTTAGAACCATCCTAATGTTTTAAATTCAGCAAATTCTCCGCTTTTGTATTTCGGTTTTCAAATTCCATTCCACTTCAAAATTCAATCTTTTATGCGTACCGTCCATGAATTACCACTTAAAGTTCTCTATTTTTTGCGCATTAACAAATAAAAAACTTCATACATACACAATTCTAGAATTCCCAGCTTCTCACACACACCACAATAAGTGAAAATCAATAAACATTTATACAGAGTACAGTGAGAGAGAGAGAGAGATAATTCACCTCCAACAATAAATTTGGCGTCGCCGTGAGGTGCTAGGCTATGGAAGTTCAGTTTAGAGGCTCCAATCGTCTGCTTGATTATGCGAAACTCGGCAAACGAAGGATTGACTAATCAAGAAATGAATCGATTCGCGCATTATTGAGCAAATCCAAGAAGAAGAAGAAGAAGAAGGAGCAGAAATGAAACCCTAGATTGGGGAAATACCTGAACCTGAAGAGAATGAAATCTGGATTAGCGAATACCAAAACTTGGTGGTGGCTACTGGCGGTTAACTTGTGTCTCTCCCTGCGAATCCAGATGAATCTCACGGTAATCATTTATCCATCTATTTATTTATTTATTTATTTTTATGATTGCTTTTCATTTGTCATTTCATTTTATTTTTCTACTTCTCAAGGATTAATTTCAATTTTGGTCTTCAGGTTATGCATTTTGTTCTATTTTGTCCCCTAATTCTAAAACAGAACAAATTGCCCATCAAATTATGAAACCAGGTGACCTACGGTATTCTAGATAAACAAAAGGAGACAGAGGCCTTTTAAATAGTATCTCAACAGGATTTCTGTCACTTATTTTTTATTAATAACATTTTTAGTCAAATAATCATATAACAAAATAGTATTAATCAATAACGAAAAATAAAAATTCAAATTCATGAATTTTTAAGGTAAATTCTATAATTTTTTTTTCTAATAATAATGTTTGACCCACAAAATTAACCCATTGAATTTTAATCATATAACTATATCAGTTAATGGGATATTAATTAACAAAAAGTTTTTAAAAATACCATCAATAAAATAATGTTATTTTATTTCTGCAATTGTTGGGGGTGGTTTGGCTATTGCTAGGGCTCATGAGGAGGTTCGTGTGGCTTCTGTTGAGCAGTCTTAGGGTAGAAATATTTGACATGGCTATAATACCCCTAGAAAGGTCAATTACGATTTGGAAGGCTCTTCATGATACTCTTTTGGTGGAGACTGTTATGCAAAAGAGAGCTTTTATTTTTGCCTCAGTTTGTCGTTTTTGTTATAAGCATGATGAATCTATTTCCCACTTATTTTTATATTGTGATTTTGTTGTTAAGATTTGGGATCATATTTATAAGATTTTTGGTAGGTGATCATGTCCTGCTCAAAGTACTGAAGAGATAATTTCTTGTGCTTTTGAAGCTGATTTTAGTTCTCAAGCTTATTGTTTATGGTCTACTGTGATTGTTAATATCTTTTTGGACTATTTGGTCTTTGACAAACATGGTTATTTTTTATGGTGTGGTTCCTAGTTTCTGTTTTTTCTAGATGGCGGTTAAGCAAGCAGTGGTTGAGGTTGGTAGGCTAAAGATTGGTGTTATGAGAAACTCTATTCAAGAGCTTCCTGATGTCAAAGCTTTTGGTCTTGAGGTTGGCATAAGAAAGCTCCTAAGATCTAATATGTTGTTTGGATTGCTCCTTTGTTAGCTTAGATTAAAATTAACACGGATGAGGTTGCTAAGAGGAATGGGTTAGTTTCTGTTTTTGTCTAATTTTACACAAATCAACCTTTGCATCATTATCAACTGTAGGTTTCAAAATTTCCATTCTAACAAGTTTGCGGTTGCATTGAAAAATTACAAACGAAATATTACACATACGCAGACTAGTTATTATTTATGTGTGTTACTTTTTGAATAAAATATCCACTCATTTTTTGTTAGTTGTGAGGAAAAGAATCGTAAAGACCATCATTCAAATCCGCACAAGCAAACTCAAACCATCAAGAAATCAAGCATTTTTCTTAAAGTCTGTTACTTAGACGTTAATGACCTTTTTTTTTTTTTAATAAAGTCGTTTATTAACCAGTTTTTTTTTTCCCGGAAATAAAATACTAACTTTCCCTCCCCCCTTTTTTTTTTTTTTTGTCCCGATGAGGTTCCAACTCATTCTAACAATAAAATATTCACACCATGCGAGTAAATACAATATTTAAATGTGGCAGCACAATCAAATGCCAAAAAAATATTCACAACATGTGATTAGATACCATGCAAGTTGCACCATCATATTAAAAAAAATCAAACTTTTCCTTACTTTTTTGTTTTTTTTTTATTACAGCTAGCCTTAATATTATTTAATATCTCTAATCAGAGCTCCTAACTCCTACATCCATTTTTAAATTCAGATCTTTCACAAGCAATTCCTCTATTGTCACTAAATCGTTCACAGAGAGAAGTATAGTGCCCTTGTGAAAACAGCTCCGAATCTGAGTATGGCTGAAGCTCTAGTCTCATTACTCATTGAGCATTTCGGTTCCATGGCTCTTGAGCGGATTGAAGGGGAAGTGAGGCTGGTCAAAGGTGTGGATGAAGATGTTGCGAACCTCAAGACCAATCTTGAGGACATTCAAGCAGTGCTTGAGGGTGCTGAGCAGAAGCAACTGAACGATGCGAGTCTAAAGAGATGGTTGGATAAGCTCAACAATGCGGCGCACAACATGGATGATGTTCTGGACGAGTGGAACACTGCCATTCTTGAATTCAAAATCAAGAAAGAAGAGGAAGCTGAAAACAATGCTTCTTCATCAAACAAGAAGGTGTGTTTTCCTATGCCCTCTTCTTGCTTCTGTTTTACCAGAGTCAAACGTCTTACTTTGCGTCGTGACATTGCTCTCAAAATCAAAGAACTGAACCAAGACCTGGATAGGATTGCCAAAGATAAAGATAAATACAATCTTAACATAAAAAGGGTCATTGAATGACCTGAGCATCGACAGACTACTTTCCTTATTGATGAAACCAAAGTTCAAGGTCGAGATGAGGATAAGAGTCTGTTAATAAGCAAATTGTTGAGTGAGAGCAGTGATGATGGGAGACGCATTGATATCATCCCCATTGTGGGGATGGGCGGTCTCGGAAAAACTACTCTTGCCCAGCTAGCTTATAATGATGAGACGATTAAGACCCACTTTGATAAGCGAATTTGGGTGTGCGTCTCAGATCCTTTCGAGGAGGTCAAGATTGCCAAAGCAATTATTGAAGGCCTCGGAAGTAGTGGTCCAAGTTCAGTCGAATTGAATGCTTTAGTGCGCTGCATTCATGAGTCCGTCGAGGGAAAGAAATTTCTTCTCGTCCTAGATGATGTATTGCTTGAAGATTACAGTAGATGGGAAACTGTACATGTAGCTCTTCAAAATGGTGCTATAGGGAGTACGATACTGGTGACCACCCGAAAGCAAGAGGTTTCGATCATGATGGGGGCAGCCACACACCAGATTAGTCTGTAAAGATTGTCTGAAGAGCATTGTTGGTTAATTTTTAGCCAATTGGCATTCATGGAAAGAACAACAGAGGAGCGCACAGAATTAGAAAATATTGGTAGGCAAATTGCAAGAAAATCAAGTGGCTTGCCCCTTGTTGCTAAAACTTTAGGAAGTCTCATGCGCTTCAGAAAGACCATAAGTCAATGGGAGGACATTTTGTGCAGTGAACTGTGGGAGTCGAAAGATGTTAAAGTTAGGGAAATTTTTGCTCCATTTCTACTTAGTTATTACGATCTATCTCCTCTGCAAAAGCGTTGTTTTTTATATTGTTCGGTATATCCTAAAGATTCTAATATTGGAAGAGATGACTTGATCGAGATGTGGATGTCACAAGGTTATTTAAGTCAAACAATAAATTCTAAGAAAGAAGGTCGAGATTGTTTTGAAAGTTTAGCTATGCGGTCGTTTTTTCAAGATTTCGAAGAGGATGAATACTATGGAGCCATTACTTGCAAAATGCATGACATAGTTCATGACTTTGCTCAATTTTTGATGGGTAGTGAGTACGTTCTGATAGAAGTTGATGGTATTGAAGAGAATAAAAAGGAAGTAGATGAAAGCACTCGTCACTTGACCATAGTGGTTGGATCTGAAGACCATTTTCTGACCCTAAGGCACAATGCAAAGAATTTGCGCACAATTTACATTTACGCAAACACCAACAAACTACATGTTGATAGAATATTGTTGTTTTCTCATCTGACACGTGTTCGGACGTTAAAATTGTGTGGCTACATTGAAAGTTTACTAGAGGATATTGGTTTATTGAAACATCTCAGATATCTGGACTTGTCTGTTAACACTAATTTGAAGGAATTGCCTGGCACATTGTTTAATCTTTATAATCTTCAGACTCTGAAATTGTGTTATTGCTTTTCACTTCCAAGACTACCAGAGAAGATTGCAAAACTGGTCAACTTAAAAAATCTATATATCAAGGGGTGTCGCTTCGAGGGCCTGCCAAAAGGGATAGCAAAATTGACTGGTCTCCTAACTCTAGATATGTGGGTGGTGCCCAAGGAGAGAAAAACATATTTTGATCTCGGAGATCTGAAAATGTTGAAATACCTTCAATTTCAAAGCTTTCTTTGTATTCAAAGGTGCGCAAACGCGGGGAATCTTGATGAGTCTGAGAAGATAAATCTCAGCAATTGGCAACATCTTCTTGACTTGACACTGCGTTTTAGAGAAACTGATGAGCTGTATGAAATTGGAGAAATTCTTGATGATGATACTGAAATTCTGGAATCCTTGCAACCGCATCCTAACTTAAAAGCATTAGAGATCTCGGTCTACCTAGGTGCAACTGTGTCCCCTACTTGGATGATGTCGCTAACTAATTTGACAAGTCTCGTACTAATCTCATATACAAAATGTGAGATTTTACCCCCACTAGGAAAAATGCCTTCTCTTGTTTCGTTGGTTATTTGTTGCTTGGTTAGCTTAAAGAAGGTGGGTCCAGAATTCCTTGGAATTATAGAAAGAGACGAAGAAGACCACGGTACAGCTAGAAGGGATCAGGATAGTCCATCCGAACCGTGCATTATTTCATTTCCGAGATTGAAAAAGCTTAAATTTGATATGAACGTGGAGTGGAAAGAGGGGGAAGGATACAGGATGACAACAAAGACACCGACAAAAATTATGCCATGTCTTCACTCCTTGAAGATTACCAAGTGTCACAACCTAGAATCGCTCCCGGATTTCCTGCAAATGACTCCACTGCAAAATTTATCTGTCAAAAAGTCTAGAATTTTGCAACGAAATGTCCGAAAAGGTACCGGAAAGGAATGGTACAAGATTTCTCATGTCCCAAACATCCAAATCAATAAAAAGTACGTGCAGAAAAATGGTGTTTGAATTCAGAAAGACAAAAGTGACGATGGAGAAACATCATCAAGCGAATGAAACTCGTCGGAAGCAGAAAAATGCATGCAACTAGTGTCATGAAGCTTGGCTCTTGGATCCATGAGGCGGATAATGCTCCAGCATTTTCTGGTAATTTTACTTTATCCTTTCATGCACAAAATTTCTGAACTTATTCGCATATTTTTAGTCTTTGCTTTAAAAGCTTATGTTAACTTGTGGCCCATATGTATTTTCATAATCCCCACTATTTTTTTTCAATACATTACCTTCTCTCACTATGATATTTTCTTTCGACTCTAGCCTCATTAGCATACACATGTCCAATCGGAAGAAGTATTATCCATATGTGCGGAGACTCAGGCGTTGTGATGATCTTTCCAGAAAATTTCTTTCTTATGGTAAGTCATGAAAACGAAATTCTACTCACCTCATTTTTGGATTTTCCAAATTTTCTTTGGTTTCAAGATTATATGTTAATGACATATTATAGTCTTCAGATTTGTCAGGGGCATGTTTGTATGTTTCTCTACTAAAATAGCCAAGGGCCATGAACTTTTGCAGCCACAAAAGGACACTTGATGGAAATTTCCAGACTCTCTCACTATATCAAGTCATCATGATGCATAACCAGTTCTGGGACCACATTGATGGAAATTGGAGAGTAAGTGCACATCTAGCAAAGTGATTGCTTCTGTTCTTTTTATTTTAAGTGAAAGTGTAAATCTCATTTGAATTTCTCTCTCATTTTTTACACAAAAATTAGATTTTTGAATCACTTGTAGAAGGAGAGTATTGATCTTGGAGGAGTAGAAATTTCTGCAAGATTAAGGTATTATGTTTTTCATGATGTTAATTTGTCATGATGTTAACCTTTTAGCATAGCTCGACATATTAATTTTAGATACTGGCCTTTCAGAGTCCTTAGATTCAACTACATGGTTCTGAGATTTTAACTTTTGTGCTGATGGATATGCAACACAAAATTATAAGTTGCTATAGGACATGTAGCGGTCGAGGTATGTTTTGCAAAGCCTACCTGTTCTATAACTATACAGGAAAAAAAAAAAAAAAAAAAAAACAGTTAAATATCATCATACATTTAATAAACCAATGGATTGCGTGCTGCGGATCAAGTTTTCTTTTATGGAAAAGCTACCGACAAATCCAAAACTAGATGTCAACGTCCAATGCCTTTATAGGTATGCAATTAAACCAAATGGCAAGTTCATTCTAATGTGTGTCCATTTTTCATTCAGTTATGTATATGTGGTTCCGATTTCTCAATCAGGTGGCATGAGATGGCAAGTGAAAATGCTGGTTGCAATTTCAGGTCGAAGAAGAAGGATGAAGACTACTCTATGAGGGTGGTTGTTGGAGCACTTTGGCTCTGGCTTTTGGGTATATGTGCTTCTGTTGACCTTTTCAGGGAATCTTCTGGCACAAATTTGCTATGCAATAAAATCCCAACCATGTCCTGTGTTAACAGAATGCAAGAATACTTTGAACTCTGATTAATCCAAGGCTTCTGCTCCACTCTACGGCGCGGAAATATCTTTCTGGACTGCTTGTTGGGAATGCTGAAAACAGTTGGGAATGCTTTGCTGCAGAAGACAGTGACAACCGAATTTCTGGAGGGCAAAACTTGCAATTACAGTATTATATTACAGTTTCAGTTTTGGTACTCATTGTATAAACAGTCTAGAGGTTGCAGAGGGATATTATCATTGTAATTTTCTGTATTGAGATCACATTTTTTACAGTATGACTTTCGTTTGGCCTGAGAGAAAATCAGTACTCTTTGTCTGAGAATTTGGGGACGGCAAACAAGATCAAACTTGTAATTCTCCATTAGTGATCTTTACAAGCAGTCTCCTGACCCGAGGACTTGGGAGGATTTAATCTCTGAACCTCGTTAAATCTTGGTGTGATTGTTTTATTGATTCTCTGTTTCTGATTGTTGGTGCATTTACTTATTTTCTTCTGTGCGCTTTGTTCTTGGTTCTGGTCCGTGTTATTGTGTGATGTTTGCGTGAACACATACCACCACGCATGTATGGTGTACTTTATATTAATGTCAGATTTGTGATTCAATCAATCAATAACATCTACATGTGCCATGTAAATTCTTTCATGACATTTGAAAGTAAAGAAGAATTTGATTAGAAACAATTCTTGACACTAGAAAAAAGAGGACTGAGGGAAGAAACTCTTGCTCTTCGCCAAAATGCAAAGCTCAATTATGAGAAGGAAATACAAAACACACCCACCAAACATAAAAAATTGCAAAAAGGAAAAGGAGGAAATTTTCTTAATAACTCTTTACTTGATCAGGGCCAAGCCAAAAACTCAGCTCCAATTTATCATGTACGTAGTGGAAATGATTTTGGAATTGTTATGAAACCATTTTCCAGACTTGTATTATCCCATTTTATTAGAATGACAATTCCTATATTTTAAACTCAATTGAATAAATATTTTTCCTAGAATGACATTTCATATATTGCTCCTATTATACTTTACTTCAATCACCCTACATCACATATTTATTATATTTATAAATATTTATCATATCCTAGTAATAAATATACGACAAACCAAAAGGAAATACGACAAGTTACCCTCCTTGTTGTGTGTGTTTTTTTTTTTTTTAAATCTTCTGATGTACTAAATCATATGCGAGTGGATAATATATCTAATAGTAAAAGACAGATTCTTAGCTTCGTTATACTATAATTACAAGATGAAAAGAAAAGAATCACCAATTACTTTATAAAAGTGTTAAAGCAAAAAAAACAAAAAAACAAAAAAGAAACTACAATTGTCAGGTGGGGAGTTGGAAAATTTCTTGGAATAAGTGAGTGCGTAAAGAAAGAGTAAAATGTGTTAGTAAAGAATTTGGTGAAAAATAACATGAAAAAATCTATAAAATTATTATACATGAGAGGGGGTAATCCTTCAGAGATAAAAATAGCCAATTATATTGTGAAAAAGAGCTAATCAAAATAAAAGTAGAGAATTAAAAAAAATGATTGATTAATTAAAAAAATAAATAAATAAAATAGTAAGTGTGCAGGTGTGTGGAAGAAAAGTGAGAG